GCTTTGGCCGTAAAGTCGGAACCCCGAGCGCCTTGCGCGGCGCCCCTGCCGCAGGCGCTTTGATGAAAAAGGCCCAGAATAGGTATACGGAATCCAGAAAAGAATTGATAAAACCGATTGACTCAGTAGTATGAGTATCATCCGCTAGTCTGATGCTCGACACCAGCGAGGAGGGGTCAATACATGAAAAAGAAGACCAAGAAGATGGTAGCGGATGGAGTGGAGGAGCGGGGTTCCAGCGCCGCTGGAGAAGGAGCTGCCGAGTGGTTAATGAGAGGGGGGCTATCGGCCACGGCCGAGCAACTCGGCGTGAGTAAGGCCACACTGGGCTATTGGCTCTTGAAGTTGGGGATCAGTGTCCGGAGAGTGGCGCTGGCGCCGGGCGAGTCGATCGAAGTTAAGCGCGTCCGCTAGCGGAAAAGTTCCAATGTGACGAGGTCGGATGTTCCGATTCCCGGAAACTCGGCCTCGTTACAATTTACAATCTCCTCTTAATCGCTCGCTCGGCTTCTCTTTTCCGTTCGCGGTCGATTATTGTCCTTCGCTTATCGTGCCGGCGTTTTCCCCGGGCTAGACCGAGTTCGACCTTCGCAAGTCCACGGGTCAAGTAGAGACGCAGCGGTACTAGGGTCAGACCTTTAGCCGACACCTGCTGCGATAGCTCCCTAATCTCGCTGCGGTGAAGCAGCAGTTTGCGAGGGGGGGCGGGTTAGGGGTCGTGGTTTTATAAGCGTCGCCGAGTGTTACGTGGCTATATGCAGGTTGCGTAGCCAGAGCTCGTCGTCCTGGGGTTGAGCGTAGGCGTCGGACAGGTTGGCGTTTTTGGCCGCCTAGGCGACTTAATTCGGTGCCGGTTTGGGAGGACGAGCCAGCTCGAGGTGTGTCAGGATATGTAGTTTGCTTGGCCCGTTGTTCAGCGGCGATGGTTCCTGCTGTGGCCGCGGGTTGTGGGTGGACATTGTGCCCCCTGCCGGCAATTAAGTGCCGGCTGATGCGGCAGCCTCGGCCGAAACGAGCCGCTCGAGCTCATCGAGTGCTCGCTCCAACTGAACCACGTCTCTGTCCCTTGGATCGGCGGCTGTCACCTCGATGTCGGGTATGACCCCTTCGTCCTGAATTTCTCGACCCAGGGGCGTATACCAGCGGGAGGTAGTGATGAATATGCCACCCTCCGTTGCTCAGTGACCGGAGAAGGTTCACGCTTGGCTTTGCCAAATTTTTTTGATGGGACCTCACCAACTAACAGTGCCCGGCCGTGCGTGTGATTTGAATGGGCGCCGACCATAAACGATGCGCTGGCGCTATACCCGTTGGCCGAAGTACCATGACAGTGCCGGGAACTCGCCCGGCGACCTGACGCTCCAATTGGTGCGTTCGCCAGATCCGTCGACCTGATACAGAACGAGCCCGTCATCAAGAAACAGCTCTGCTATCTCAATTACGGAACTGAGAAGGCCCCCAGGGTTGTCCCTTACGTCGAGCACCAAACCCTCGGCGCCGTCGGCCACGGCCCCCCTTATCGCTTCGCTGAGTTCGCTTGCCGTCGTCTCCGGGTAAAAGTTCGTCAGGCGGATGTGGAGGAATCTGTCCTCGGGCTGGCTGCGCACCAGGACACTTGTCCTGCGCGTATGACCCCTATGACATCTCCGATTTACCGGATCCAATGCCCCCAGCTGTTTGACAAGCAGAGGTGACCGCGGTGCCCCTTGGCCCTCTGATAATGGCAACCGCTTCAAGAAGGCTAAGTCCCTCTATGGACTCTCCGTCGACAGCCAGTATCTGGTCTCCGGGTCGAATGCCGGCGGGCCTCAGGTGGTGCACGCCGGCGTATGGGGGGCGACTATCACCAAGACGCCGTGGCGGTTCGTGGTACGTGGGCCGACTATGCCTCGAATCGCCCTGGAATGTATCGTTTGAGTCGACCGCAAACGTCTCTGGCGAAACGTAGTTGGTGTGCGGGTCTCCTAGGGCAACTAGCATCCCGCGGATGGCACCCTCCGACATCATGCTGGGGTCCAGCTTGCGCGGTCGACGTGATCTCTGGTCAGTATCGCCCACGGTCTCCCAGATGATTCGCAGTTCCTCGGCGACATCGGATGGAGCGACCAAGGGCTCAGAGGGCGGAATGACCTCTGGGAAAGTAGTGTCGTCTAGATCGGTGACGCGATTCTTGTCGTCATCGACGCTGATGGTGGTGCCAGCTGGTCCGATGGCGTCGCTGCACGCGACCGCGCTCATCAACAGGGCAGCACACCAGGATTTCCGCCAGCAGGTGTATGTAGGGTTTAGGGGAGCGACGACATTCGAGCAAGCCCTTGAGTGACGGGGACATACGCCGACGACAAAAACTTACCGGCACTAGTAGCACGATATGGTGATAGACCGTAAAATCTTAGCACGCAAGGCTCTACGGCCGCCGGACTCAGGCTACTTCCCAGTCTGGTTCGTCATCCGAACATGGGCCGAGGAAAACAGATCCGAAAAGAAGCCACTTTTCGTGGCCGGCTCCTGAAAAGAGGGAACGTTCAGAAGTCCAGGCCCTCGTCGTTGGTCAGTGACTAGCATTGCGGCACTACGTTGATTTTCAATGCCCTGAAACAGTTCACGCGAGCGGCTGACCCCACTGTTCAGCGTTCGTAGAACAATGACCTGATATAATTTGAGGATTGAGATCGCCTTTCCATAGCGACCCTGTCAGAAAAACTGACAATTGAAAAATGTCACTGAATTTTCGAACGAATAGAGTAGTTGGAGTTGTTTCTGAGGGCCGGTTTAGTTGGATAGTGAAATCAAAAGCAAGCAGAAGAGGACCAAAAAGTACGTAGCTACCCTGTACACCCGCTTAGAGACTCTCTGGCAGTTGCTCAGGCCATCGAGGAGGCCAACTCCGGTCTCCCGTTCGATCGCATTGTGCTCGCGGGAGAGCTGAATATACCACTCCGACAAGCAGCAGCTTTACGATGCGACTCAACTCTCGGCGCGATACGGTCTGACCCTCGGTGGATACAACGACGCAAGGATAGTCCTCACCGAAGCGCGGGCTATAGTGGCGCCGAAGAGCGAAGAGGAACGCCGCTTGACTCTTGTAGAGTGCCGGCTGCGCCCACAGGTGTTCAGGGACTTTTATGAAACGCCTTGAGCAGGAGGCTCCCGGAGAGGGCGTACGCAAAGAACATCCTGGAGCAGCGACCACAATATCGATCCCGACCTAGTCGAAGAGTGTCTGACGTAATCTTGGAAAACGGGAAGTACGTGGGGCTGTACGAGAGGTCGGTGGCTCACTTTGGGTCGGGGTGAAAGGGTTGCGAGGAGAATTCTCAGGCTCGGCAACGGCCGAAGGGGGCGGCTTCAGCTCAGATGCCAACTCTGCGGATAGTCCAGATGTCCACGAGCTGCCGCGAGCGAGCTGCCAAGGAGTCGGCGTCGCGAGGGTTTTGTTGGCCATTTTGGATGCGATGAGTTGGCCGGTCAGGTTCAGGCGCTGCTTTCTGACTTGGGATAGAGAACGTCGCAATGGGCGTCGGGCGGCGCTCAGGATGTCTCCTGTCTGGCGAAGTGTCCAAGACCATGGGTAAGTGCACGGGCGCAGTGTTGATTGCGGGTCCGCTGACCGAGGACAGTGGTGGCCTCGAAGGCCAGGCCGCCATCGGCTTCATGGCTGGCGCGGCGGCCGCGCTCTATGGACCGAGGTTGCTGGTAGTGGGTTATGCGGTGGCTTTAAGAGGTGCTGATCTGTCGGTTCCTCGAGTGCCTGCACTGCGCCAGGAGCTGACGGCAGTTCATCAGGGAGCTTAAGCCGCCTGCTCAGGAGCTCGCTACTAAAGTGAGGCTGGCGTTATACGCGTCACCATCTAGATCCCACTGCACTTTACATAACATATATAGTGCGAAGTAACGTGCGATTTCGCCTACGAAACAAGCATCTCGTAATGCAAATGAGTTCGAAGTCAGACGACAGGCCTGCTGCTGCTGCCCCTCGACAGACGTCTCCCTACGGTCTCCAGCAAGTCGTCCAGGCCAATCCGCTTAAGGGCGGAGGACGGGGAAAACGGCACGCCGGTGGTGTGTTTGAGTCTCCGATCACCTTCGCCGATCACCCGTGCGGGCGCCAGGAACGGCAGGTCGGCGATTTCGTCGGGTTCACCAACGAGATCGACCTTGTTCAATACGATCACGCGGGGCTTGTCACCAGCTCCGACTCGTCAATCACCTAAGTTTACATGTCGACGTGCTGGTGCGCGTTGGGGTGCTTGACGGTCGACAACATAGTATGAGGGATGATCGCGCTATCCTTCGAGTGGTCGCCCTGAATGCCGGCGACAAGTGAGGGGCAAACTTTTGAATGAACCCGACAGTGTCTGTGATCAGCACATTGCTTCCGTCGCTCAATCTGAGCTTGCGCGTAATCGGATCCAGGGTCATGAAAGCTGTTTTCTGCTGGGACGCCGGCCGCCGGTCAGAGTTCAACAGGGTGCGCTTGCCCAGCGGTTCGGTGTAAACCCACCAACCCGCGACGTCATCCCGCGCTGCGGGAGGCGACGCGATCTGTAATGGCGACCGATGCGTGCTGACGGAAATCAAAGTCCTCCTGAGCTTTTGCAGGCGGACCCCTGTGACCTTCGGGTCCGTCGCAATCTGGTTTCTCCAGGCCCACGAGTGCCTATACCGTCCCCCTAGACGTTCGAGGATGCGTCGCCCTGGCCTGCCGTCTAGGCACCAGGTACCGTGCTGCGCCAATTCCACTTGCAGCCCTCCCCTCACGAGTCCCCGCGCGCGGGCTGCAAACACGTCTATATGATGCTTTCCGGTCAATCACTTACCTCTGCTCAAGCGCGCTCAAGTTGCGCTGCTGGGTTGGAGTGAGTTCGTCGCTCACAGACATTGTGTCCTACCACGCGCTCTTCCCCGCGTGCCTCCCTGGCGCAAATCCAGCTTGCCTTGGCCGAGATAGTGGTGCGTCGTCTTGGCCACCCGTTGCGTTACGGATCCGACGACCTCTCTCCCGCCCGCCGTCTCGCGGTTGAGTTTGCTAGTTCCGCCCCGCCATGGAATCGTCCAGGACAAGCGGTTTCTTGGAGCTCGCAGTGCCCCCCGACGAGGTAGACGCGCTCAGCGCGCGGATGGGTGTATACGACCGCGTATACGAAGCTTTCTTTTCTTTCGGCTCACTTCGGTGGGATACCCAGCTCGCCAAACGCTGTAAGGCTGGCACGCGCTCCAAATCGTTCCTCCGCAAATGGTTAGCGAAAATCTGATGTATCCCTCTTCCGCTGGGAGGACCCGTAGCCGATACGCGGGTGTTACCACCATGTCTACATCGTCGCAGCAGCAAACCGGTGAATTCGGCGGATGAGTAGGCCTCGGACCCGTGCCCACACGTACAGACCACCCTAGGTCCTCAACCCCTCACCCGACGGCACGAAGAGTTGGTCGACAACCTGTCTCGGCTCGCCGCCGCTGGTAGACGGCGTTGCGAGCCATCAGTTCCGTCTCGGTGGCCTTGATGGCCTCTGCGGCCATGTATTGGACTGCCTGCGGTATACCCGAATCGAGGTTGGACTTGACGACCATCAGCGCATTGATCATGTCGGCATTCCCCGCCGCCCATGCCCACGCGCCAGCCAGTCATGTTGTAGCTCTTGGACAGCGAGTGTGAACTCGATACCTACGTCCCATGGCCCGGCGTTTTAAGCAGGCTCGGGGGCCTATAGAGCCGTCGAACAGCTCCTTTAGGCTGCGTCGTGCAGCAGCGCAATATCGTGTGCCCGGGCGAATTCCACTGCCTCCATGAAGAACTCCCTCGTCGCTACCGCACCCGTGGGATTGTTGGTGTCAGTTTCAGCCGATCGCTTGGCTTGATTGCGATTCGGTCCGCCGGGAATTGAAGGCAGGTCTGGCAGCCAGCCGTTCTCCTCGGTGAGCGGCATAAGTTGGCTTCTCCGCCGGCACAAACCCAGGTGCCCACCGAATTAGAACCGGATATCCGGGATCGGGTACTAGCACGATGTCACCGGGGTCCACAAAGCACAGCGCGGCGTGCCCGATCCCCTCCTTTGCCCCGATTAACGGCAGTACCTCTCCCTGTCCCCTGCATCGAGGGAGACCCCCGAAACGACCTGCGTACCAATCCCGCGATCCCTCTCCTTGCCGCATATAGGGAAGCCCGTCAGTTTCAGGATCGCGGTGGTTCTCGGGCCCAATGAGGCCTCTCGAAGCACCTCCACGACGCCACTTGGCGCGGCAGGTCTGGGTCTCCGAGCCAAAGCTGATTACATCTGCTCCCCTGGCGCGTTTCTCGGATATGCGCCTGCTGATTTCAACAAAAAGGTACGGTGGTACCTTGTCAATGCGACTGGCAAACTTCATTTCAACCTTCGTTTTGCGTTAAGGTTAGCTAAGACTTGCACGTCCATTAATGGCTTGGGCAAGGCAGCTATCGCTCATATGGGCCAGCCTGCCCTCGAGACCCTTCGATCGGGCCAACCATTACTACCTGGTGGGGTGCGACCCTGTCCCGACCCAATGCGATTCCTAAGTCTCCCCACCGCCGGGAGAGACACGGTAACGGCGTCGTCTATCAGCCTCTTGCGGCGGGCTACGACCGCCGCTGCGCACGTCCCGTCCACACGCCTCTTCTGGGGCCCGAGCCGCGCTCCCAAACGCGCACCTTGATCAGGTTGCGGGACAGAACATTCACGATCTCGAAGTTCACCCCTTCGGGGAACCTTCCGTCTCGCTCCAACAACGGACCTAGTCGAGACAATTTGACGTTCCCCACTGGCTCGTCCAGGACCGCGACCGCGTGAGGATTGCCCATGGAGACCCCGTTGGATGGCGAACGTGACCGTCCACAGAAGAATGGATGTCTGTCGCGTGCCTCTCGCCCGGTACGTTGAACGGCACGTCGGCAGCCCCGAACCGCGGCTCTTCCATGTCTACTCGCGCCATTGAGATGTGTCCGTCACGCCAGATGGGCGTTACCGAAAGTACGCCGGAGGCCGTTTCGACCTCCACTGGGCTCGACGTGCGGTAATCATCCCGATGTCGATCCCGAACGCAACAAGACAGCGAATGCCATTGCCGCACATCCGACCAGCGTGAATCCTCGGAGTTGAACATCTCCAGCTCGAAGGTCGTGCTCGTCCGATCGCGATGGCAGGTGATTCGTCAGAGCCGACCCCACCCCAAAGTGGCGGTCGCTCATCGAGACTGCTATCTTCGGCCAATTGAGCGTCAAGCCTCGACCATCAATGTAGATGTAATCGTTGCCAGCACCGTGCATCTTTGTGAAGGGCAGTGCCTTCAAACTATTGGCGGTCCATGGGGACATTCTAGCAACGCGACTCAATTTGCTCCCCTACCCTGTCCGCCGCGCGCCGTAGACCCTCTTTGTCGGCATCGAACCATTCCAGCCAAGTCGCCCTTCTAAGCCACACATACTGGCTTCGAGCCAGTCTGTGGCTGCGGTGTTCTTCATGTTCTGCCCGCGCTGCATAATCGGTTCTACCCGCAATGGCTTCGGCCGTAACTCCCATAGCCTATGCTCGACATTGAAGATAGGTCCGCATCGTAGCCACGCCGCAAGAGTGTCTGCACCTCTTTGAGCCAGCCTCGGTCAATCATCTGGTCCACACGTGCGTCGATCCGACGATACAGTTCGTCACGGGGCAACGTTAGACCGATTGCTATCGCAATTTGGGCTAGGCCTTCCCCTCTTTTGCCGGCTCCGCAATTCACTCTTGGCGGCCCTACCCTGAGAACGAGAGCAAGTATCGGGGTCGCCCGTGACATGCCACCTGGGCTTGATCTTCGTGTGCCCTGATCTCTAGGGCCCGAATGACCCTGCGTGTATTCCTGTGGTCGATCTGCGCGGCCAACTCCGCATCTATCTCTGCAAGGTCCTTGTGCAGCTTCCGACTCCCCTCTTTATCGGCGCGCCGTTGCAGGGCTGCACGCAGCCTCGAATTTGGAGGTACACGGTCGGGTTGCAGCGCCTCCATACGCGCAAAAACGTACTGGCTCGAACCCCCCACGACCACGGGCAATCGATCCCGCGCGCAGATATTTCTTCTTCTTTCATGGCCTGGCAAGGTCTAGACAGGCACAGTAGACCGTATTCCTGATCCGGTTCGAGAATGTCTACCAGATGGTGCGGCACGGAGGCCCGCTCACCTGCCCGAGGTCGCTCGCGGTGCGATGTCCAAGGAAGCCGCGGTAAACTGTCGCTAGTCAGCGCTCACGATCTCGCTGCTCCCGTCTAGCTGGCTCGCCATCCTCATCCCGAAGGCCGATTTGCCCACGGCGGTCGGCCCGGCAACCATGAGTAGGCGCCTTGCCCGATGGTCGCTCTGGCATGGTGGCTGCGACTCGCTTGCCGGCGTTGTCCAAAGCGTGAGGCGACTGCGTGTTTCGGTCAACATCAATAAGCTACGGTCAGGCTAGCCCCGCCCACTAGAGCGCCGTCTATGTCCGACATATCAACAAAATCCGACACGTTTTCCGCGTTGACGCTTCCGCCGTAAAGGACCGGTATTTCGCAGGCGTTCCCCGACCCGTACAGACCTACAAGTTCGTGCCGCACGATCGCGGCCATTTCCTGCGCATCCTGTGGGCAAGCAGCCAAGCCAGTGCCTATAGCCCAGATCGGGGCTCGTAGGCGGACGCTAACACCTGGGACGAACGAGTCTCGACGTTTGTACGTAGAGCAGCCCTGAGCGTGCTTCGTTCGACGCCTCCTGGGCCCTGGCCGCTCGCGCCGATCAGGTCAATGTCTCGCCCACACACACGATCGGCCTGAGGCCGAGGGAAAGGGCTGAGATCACCTTTGAGTTGACCAATTCGCTCGTCTCCCCAAGGACCTGCCGACGTTCTGAGTGACCCAGGATCACGTGGGTGCACAGTTCAGCCACCATGGCAGCGGAGACCTACGCCCGTCAGGTGCGCCATCCTCTCGGGCGCATGTCCGCGCACCGAGTCTCATACCGGTGTCCGCGAGGGCTTGCTTGGCAACATGACGAAGAGACGAACCCCACGGCGGGCACACAACGCTAGTTACGCCGCCAACCGGCAGCCCGGACTTCAGCCTTTCCAGGAGAGGAACCGTCTCGGAAACAGTCTTATTCATCTTCCAATTGCCTGCTATCAGGCGTTCCGACATTGAATGGTCCCCTACTCCTATGGCCCGATACTGTGAGGCGGCCTGCGTGGGATTACGCCAGGGTCATGACCGAACTAGCGGATATTGTGCCCAGCGAGCCGCCGGCCGCGGCTCTCTCCGTGAAGGCCGCTACAACACCGTCGCCCCTTGTCTGCTTGGATCTCTATGGCGATCGGCACGGGATGCCAGCTATGCCTCTCAGCACAGCCGGCGTCGAGTGGTCGCCCGCGACCACCAGTACATCCGGTTCTAGTCGCAGGATCTCAGGAACCCTGGAATTCAACTCCTCCAGAGCCTCAACCTTGCCCTCGAAGTCGCCGTCCTCGCCCGCCGAGTCCGCCGGCTTGTAGTGTAGGAAGAAGAAGTCGTGATTGTCAGTTTCAAATGCTGCTCCTAGCGTCGCAAGTTCATCCCCAAAGTCGTCTCCTGTTTCACGAGCACTCTCCATCCGGCAGACCTGGCAAGGCCTCGGTACATTGGGTACGCGGCGATTGCAGCAGCGCGCACCATATGCCGGTCTCCGAACGGCGGCAGGCGTGTCGGGCTGGATATGCCCGTAGCACAACCCCCTGCGCTTCCCGATCAATAAGTACCTGTCGAGCTTGGGCCACGAAATCGTTCACGGCCGTGGCAAGGACGCATGCACTCTTCGTAAGCGGCCGCGATTGGGCAGGCATGCGTCCCTCAATGCCTGGGTCCGTATCGCTGGCTTCCAGATTCGTCCCGGCTCCGTGGAATACGGCCACAAATCTGTGGTCGCGTATCATCTGAACGAAATTGGTCCAGAGGGAAGCTCAATGCGATCTAGCAGGGCCGATAATTCGTTGCTGCGCCCCGTCGGGATGCGTCCAGCGCGCCTGTCCAGCAGTCGCCCGCGATCGTCGACAATGCAGAAATTGCTCGGCACGCGCAGTCGTCTTCGGCTGAGGTCAAGCCCTATGCGAGCGCCTCCTGACTCCACGGCCACGTGAGCTTGAGCGGAGTCGTACCCGGAACAGAGCCAAATGGCCGGGCCCAGAGCCTGGGGTTATGCCGGGGGCGATCGGTATTGTCAGGCCGCAGGCACTCTCACTCGCCAGAGCGTCAAGGTTTGGGAGCGTCGCAGTTTCCAACTCGGAGCGACCAGTGCCAGGATGGGGATAGCCTCCCAAGCCGTCAACAACCAGCAGGGACTATCCGGGACTCTCCGGTCTTGGCCAGGCTTCCAATGTCTATATCGGTTGTCATGGAATCATTACTCGTCCATGAGAGCGGCCACCCCGGGCAGCACTTTCCCCTCTATGAATGCGAGGGTAGCGCCACCGCCGGTGGAATCGTGGCTGATTCTTGACGTAAGCCCCAATCGCGACACGGCCTCCGATGTCGACCCGCCCCCTGTGACTGTTGTCGCGGTACCATGCAAATCAGCGATAGCCTCGGCGACCTTTCTGGTCCCGCCCGAGAAGGTCTCCCATTCGAACACCCCCATAGGACCGTTCCAGAGCACTGTTCTCGACGCGGAAACTGCCCGGCAATAAGCGTCCGCCGTCCGAGGTCCGATGTCGAGCACAAGCCAATCGTCAGGGATGTCATCCACTGAGACCAACTTGGTCTTGGCATTCTCCGAGAAGGCGTTCGCCACCACTACGTCGGTCGGCGCGAGTACCTGGGCGGAGCCTCGGTGCGCACCCGACAACAAGCCTCGAGCGTATTCCATGCGGTCTTCCTCCAGAATTGAGGCGCCGACCCTGTGTCCTTGTGCTGCCAGAAACGTCGCGGCCATGCCACCGCCGATGATGAGCGTGTCTACCAGTGAAACCAGTCGGTCCAGCATGGCTATCTTGTCGGACACCTTGGCTCCGCCTACGATGGCCGTGAAGGGTCGTTCCGGTGTTTGCAGTGCTCCGCCAAGCGCGACAAGCTCCTTCTCCATCAAGAGTCCTGCCAAGGCAGGCAAATGGTGCGCCACGCCCTCGGTCGATGCATGCGCCCGGTGCGCCGCGCCGAATGCGTCGTTCACGAATACATCTGCCAGTGCGGCAAGGTCTTCGGCCAATGCCGGATCGTTAGCCGCCTCTCCAGGATCAAAGCGGATGTTCTCGAGCATCGCGATGGACCCGGGAGTCATAGCGTCGATCGCAACCTTTAGGTGCAAGCCTTTGTGTCCAGGTAGTTGGAGCACCGACATCCCCAATACTCCCCTACCCGGCTAGACACAGGGGCCAACGACAAATCCATAATCCGATGTCCATTTGGTCGCCCCAAATGCGTGACTATTAACACCCGGCATAATCTCTCTACCAAATGCGCAAGCGTTGGAACTGTGGCCAATATGCGGCGATCGTCTAGGATCTCCGTGGTGCCGGGCCGCATCGGCAGGTTGTAGTCGACGCGCAAGAGGACGGTCTTACCGCCTATCTCGTAATTCCTGACCGAGCGTTTCCCCACTTCCCGATTAGCGGGCATAGGTCAGGGCGTCGGCAAAGGTCTCCACTGCGGACAGCCCGTCAGCGGCAAGATGGATGCCTGCTATGGCTCTCATTGCCGCTTGGCGATGCCCACGCACCGCCTCAGTCGCTCTCTCTCGGCCGCCCAACTCCTCCACCAATTTTCTGACTTCGGCTACGTCCGACGGCTGCAAGACCCGCTTAAAGTAGACATCTCCAAGGCGCCGTCGCTCCGATGGACCGGCATTCTCTAACGCGTAGACCACGGGGAGTAGCTTCTTTTTGTTCATCACCTCTTCGGAAGTAGGGGCGGCTCCGTCACGGCCATTGTCATTGGCGAAAAGATCGTGTATGTCGTCAGCCACCTGCATGGAGACGCCCAACTCTTTCCCTGCTGCTCCAAAGGCCTCCGTCGTCTTCTCGTCTCCGCCCGAACCGATCAGAGCCCCGAGCTGGAATGCTCCGGACATTAAGGATCCACTCTTCTCGCGGGCCATCTCCACGTATTTGTCCACCGACATGTCGATGCGTTCTTGGGCCTCTATGTCCTTGAACCGGCCCTCACACATCGCAAGAGAGGCATGGTCCAGAATCTGCATGGCACGAAAAGTAGAGTCGGCAGCTACTCCCAGCCTCTGCAGATCGAGTATCGTCAGCCTTGCAAGGGCATGCATTCCGTCCCCTGCGTTAATTGCCTGGGCCGGGCCCCACACCCACCACACAGCGTCCCTATCGTTGCGGGTTGGATGCCCGCCTTGAATGTCGTCGTGGATCTCTACGAAGGAAGCCACCATCTCAACTGCGGCGGCCGCGGGCAAGGCGGCCTTGCTGCGCCCGCCGCATGTCGCTAGCGTCGCCACCAAGCATCCCACTCCGTGTCGCCTCAGGGCCGTCCTTATCGTCCGGCCCGGCGTCTCTTCGCCGGGTTTCTCCCCCAACCAAGGTGATAGGACATCATCCTGTAGAGGTCCATGTCTCTCGACGACAGGGCCGCCCTTATCTGGGCGTCGACCTGATCGTTCAAATTGCAGATGAGCTCGGCTCTCAACCCCCTTGCTCCATTCCAACCCGATTAGTCGGCTGAGTGTGTGTGCGCCGATCGTGAACGCATTCGGTATCCGGACCTATCCGCTACCCATCGTAGATTGATGGGGCACCCCTGCCACGCGCAGAGCCTCATCGAGGTCAGTTCTGGAGATGGGTCCGGCCCGCAGTATACGCGGCTCCGGCGTCGTAAGGTCAAGGACTGTGGAAGGCGGCCCGCCGGGCGATTTGCCTCCGTCTACTATGGCGTCGACCACTGTGCCAAGGGCATCCCGTACCTCGCCCGCCGTTGTCGCCGGGGGCCTGCCGGTCAGGTTCGCGCTGGTGCCGGTCACGGGCGCGCCAAGACGCCTTACTACCTCCCTGGCAGTTGGCGCGTCCGGAACCCGCAAGGCTATCGTGTCACCTCCTCCCGACAAGAGAGATGGAGTGCCCGGCGACCGTTTGAGCACCAGCGACAGAGCGCCCGGCCAGAATTCGAATCCTAGGGCGGACACAGCGGTTTGCTGCATTTCGGTCAAGTCCACCCGCGTACTTCATCACGTCGGACGGCTCGGCTATGAGGAGCGGGACAGCGCTAGTCGCACGTCGTCGCTTGATTTCAAAAATTCGAAGCGCCGCTTCGACATCGATAGCACAGGCGGCCAGACAGTAGAAGGTGTCGGTCGGGAGTGCGACCACTCCCCCGCCCTGCAGTATCTCGACCACGTCGTCGATGGTCGGGTTGCTACCGATTTTTCTCACGCCACCATCTTGACCACATGCTCGCGTATCAACCTCATCTCACCGTGGACGTGCCGAAACTCCTTTGGTGGTTGGCACATCTGCCTACCCGGTTATGTTACCTTTGATTTCTCGCGAACATGGCGAACAGCGCACGCTCAAACGGCCCACACGACACCGATAAATCGGTGTCAAGCGAACCCTCAGCTTCCCACCGTGTCGCAAGCAGTGACGATCTCGAGATCTCCGCATACCTAGAGATCGCCGAGGAAAAGCGAGGGCGCGAGTCCACGCCGCCGAGCGAAGGCCGGCTACACCGAGAGGCTGTGCTGATAGTGGATTTCGGTTCACAGTACAGCCGCCTGATAGCCCGACGGGTGCGCGAGAGCAACGTCTACTGCGAAATCGTCGGCCATGAGATCGAATGGGACTCCGTTGCACACATTGATCCAAAGGGAGTAATCCTCTCGGGGTTGGTCCGGCGAGTGTGTATGAAGAGGGCGCCCCCCTCGCCCCCAAATGGGTTTACGAGAGCGGGCTGCCTGTTTTGGGCATCTGCTACGGCATGCAGGTTATGGCTCAAAAAACCCCAAAAAGAGTAGCGAAGTGAATTTTCTGTAAAAGAGACAATAAGATCACCGTCCCAGGAAAAAAAAAAGGAAACCAAAATCACGAAGCGAAGAAACAAACCAAAAAAAAAGCATGCCAGCGCGTCCAATCGTTTGATGTTGTAGATCTCGTAGTCAAAATACAAACAAGAATGAAGAGAAAAAAAAAAAAGCAAAAGGCAAAAAACAAAAACAAAAGTAAGCAAGAAGAGAGAAACCAGGAAAAGAAAAATCAAACAACCACAACAAATAAAAGAACGGAGAACAACAGAAAAGAAAATAAAGCCCCCACGAACCCGGGAAAATAAAAAAAGATACTAATAGACCTGCGAAAAACAGAAGCAAAAAATAAGCATACAAATAAAAAAAAAAGAAAATAAACCTAAAAGATCGGCCAAGAAGATCTCAGCTGCTTTTTGTAGATTTGATATTCCGGGGAAGGCGGCCAGAATGAGTCTACCACCTCCAACAATTAGGAAAAGATCTTTTTCCCTCTCTTATTCCCCATTTCCCACTGGCCCCCATTAACTTTCTCCTCCCTCCCTGCGGTCGCCTCCTGGCTTACCCCCATCCCATTTCCACGCCCCACTCTACTATTGGTCCTTTCTTCCTTCACGGCTCCCCCACAATGCCATCATAAAGATAAGGACCCTGCACCTGCCCTGTTCCGTTCGCCGTGCCCCTTGATATCCTTGCAACCAACCAGACTGTCCTCTTCTAAATCCCCCCCCGCGCGTATATTACACTCAGTTCTCTTTCTCTCCTCCATTTTTTGGCATCATTCGAGCTACCTTTGCTGCTATCCCAACACCTTTTGCCACGCCTTTTGGGTAAACTCCCCATTTTTCCTGTCTTCTTTTTTTTGCCCTGCCCCTTAATCTTACCTAACTCCCATCTAAGAACCCACTAATCAGATTCCCTACTCCTTCCCTCTGTTTGCGTCCTACCCTCCCAACATCTCCCCCTCCTCTATCTTTTATTTGTCCCTGTGCCTTTGCCCCGCCCTTCTGCCCCCCTCACCCCTCCCTCCCTCTGGGCGCTTAAGTATGGTCACAAAACCGCGCGCCCCTCCCTACTATGTAGTATCTCTGTCTTGTCTCTCCCATTTATACTCCGCCCCCGTCTACCTCCCCTATTTCATCTTACCCGTCTCCTTATATTTTTCTCTGTTTTTTCCTCACATCAGGTTCATCCCCATTTTCCAGCGGAAGCTTGTTATAATGGCCCATCTCATCTCCCACTGGTGTCACCCCCCTTCGCTCCCCCGTTCTAACAATACAGACTCGTTTATCCACCTTTATAGCCCTTTAACGCAATCGAAGTCAGACTTCCCCTGGCCGGTCCTTGGGGTCCGGCCCATATCCTCGTCGGTCAGGCCCGACAGAAACTCGTGCAGTCCCCGGGCCAGGGTGCCGATAACGCGCACTTCATCCCGGATGGTTGTCTCGTCGTACGATATCATCGCTATATCTCCCGCCGCCTACAGCCCGCCGAACCAGCGACCCAGGTTCCGCAGGGCCACGTGGGCAATTGTGTCGGCAGTCTGGGAGACCCTGACGCGGCCGGCGCGTTTCGCGGTATTCCAGTCGACGCGATTGTACAGACAAAGCAGATACGTCCCGGCATCGCAGCGAACGGTCAAATCCGGCTGACGGTCTGGGGCGCAGGGCTCAATGGAAAAGGTGTCGCCGGTAACCACCACGTCGTGGCTCAGGGACGCGCCGCCGTCGCCTCCCACCTCGAAGCGATACGCCACCGGTGTGGTCAGCGGGGCCGTGGGGCGGAAACAGAGTTGGTACCACATCTCCGAACCCGGCAGCAGCGCCACTGCTCCGTCGGGGTCCAGGTCACCTTCGCCGGTGTCGCCCGAGCGCATGTCCCAGTCGTGAATCACCAGTTCCTGAATACGCAAATCCAGATAGCTGCTGGCCGAAATCGTACCGCGCCGACGGTGCCAGCATCCAATCGACCAGTCGGTCCAGTCCCGCAGAGTGTCGTCCAGTTCCTGGTACCACTGTTGGAAATTGTCCAGCAAAGCATCGCCCCACTCCCGGCGCATCTCCGCGTTGTTCACCGCGTTGGCCTGCTGCACCTGGTCGGCGGTGGGCATAACGCTTTCGCCCTCCGGCGGGCCGCCCTCTCCGGCCAATCCCCGCAGCAACGCCTCTCGCTGACGTACGGCTCCACCGGCCAGATGTGCGGCCACCGTGCCAACGTCCCACTCCGAGCACGCCGACGGGCCGTTCAGCGTTTCGGCCGGCCATTCGGATAATCGCCGGTGAATGTCCCCCGACAAGCGCTTAATCAGTTCAACCTTGGCGGCATCGTCCAGCATCATTGCCTCCCCAAATTTATCTGAGTCCCAATCGCAGGTAGTTTATCACGACGCCGACGGCAATCCGGGGCGGTGTATAATGCCGCCAACCGGGAGGTGAGAGTTATGCCGGAAATGATGGGACCTCATACTGCTATTCGCACCGAATTTGGCCTGCCGGTGCCCATGCGCGACGGCGTGACGCTCTACGCCGATGTGTACCGTCCGGACACTTCGGATCCGGTGCCCGTGCTTTTGCAACGCACTCCCTACGACAAGGCACAGTCCCGTACGGGCAGCCTCGACGTAATGCGCGCGGCGTCCCACGGCTATGCGGTGGTTATCCAGGACACCCGTGGTCGCTACACCTCCGAGGGCGAGTTCTACCCCTTCCTGGATGAACCCGACGACGGTTACGATACCGTGCAATGGTGCGCCGACCAACCCTGGAGCACCGGCAAGACGGGCATGTTCGGGCGTTCCTACGTGGGAGCCACCCAGTGGCTTTGCGCTATCACCAACCCGCCGGCCCTCACGACCATCTCCCCGGGTATCACCGCCTCTGACTACTACGAGGGCTGGACCTATCAGGGCGGCGCGTTGGCCTGGGGGTTTGCCCTTTCGTGGACGATGCGACAATTGACCATGGCCAACCTCGGCGCAATCAGCAGCCGCCACGACGTCCCCGAAGGCGCCCGCGCCGGGCTCCTGGAAGCATTCAACCAGCTGGACTGCACCATGCGTCAACAACCCATCGTGGAGCTGCCGCACCTCAAAGCACCGCTGGCGGACTATTTCTACGACTGGATTCGGCACTCGTCCAGCGACGAATACTGGAAGCGCTGGCGCATCGAGGACCACTATCCGCACATCACCACGCCGGCGCTGCATGTGGGCGGGTGGCACGATATTTTCCTGTTGGGCACCCTCCGCAATTTCGTTGGTATGGGGAAACAGGCCGCCGACGCCACCGCACGCGCCGGACAGCGCCTAATTGTTGGTCCCTGGCACCACGGCCCGTTTGCCGAAATGTCGGGCGACTACTTCTTTGGTCTGGGCGCTTCCGGGCCGGCCATCGACACCGACGGCGTGCAGCTGCGGTGGTTCGATTACTGGCTAAAGGGCGAGCAGAACGGCGCCGAAGCCGATCCTCCGGTTCGTATCTTCGTCATGGGTGACAACCGTTGGCGCGACGAACAGGAATGGCCGTTGACTCGAACCCGGTTCACCGACTACTACCTGCACAGCGGCGGTCGGGCCAATACCGCGGCTGGCGATGGCGTGCTGTCCACCGATGCCGCGGGTGAAGAATCGCCCGACGTGTTCCTGTATGATCCCCGCGATCCGGTTCCAACCCGAGGCGGCCCGCTGTGCTGTGGCCCGTCTTTCGTTCCCGGCGGCGCATACGACCAGCAGGAGTTGGAAGGTCGCAGCGACGTGCTCTGCTACACGACACCGACGCTCACGACCGATGTCGAGGTTACCGGCCCGGTAACCCTTACGCTGCACGCCGCGACCTCTGCTGCCGATACCGATTTCACTGCCAAGCTGGTGGATGTGGACCCGTGCGGCTCGGCGCGCAACCTTACCGATGGCATCATCCGCGCGCGATACCGCAGCGGCACCGATGCGTCCCGCCCCGTAACGCCCGGCGTAGCCCACGAGTACAACATTGACCTGGTGGCCACCAGCAACGTGTTCAAAGCCGGACATCGCATCCGTCTGGAGATCAGCAGCAGCAACTTCCCGCGGTTCGACCGCAACTTCAACACCGGGGCCGATCCCTGGGCCTCCACCGACAGCGTGCCGGCCGTGCAAACCATTCATCACAACGGGCAATTTCCGTCGCGCTTGCGCTTGCCCGTTATTCCCGCCTGACCAGGCCGCCGAGTCAATAAGCGATGGCCCGCTATGGATGTCTGGTGATTGGCACCGTCCTGGCGCTGATCATACTGTTCGTGATCGTCTACTTCTGGTCGGGCTGGCTGAATCGCCCCGTGGGGCACAGCATCGCAACAACCGAATCGCCCCTCTCCCTTGATGGGAGAGGGCTGGAGCCTTCCCCGTACTTGATACGGGGTTGAGGGTGGACCCACGGTCATGCTGAGCCAGCCGGAGGATCACCCAACCCCGCTGTGATTGCGTGGAGCGCAGCAACGTGGCAATCCCGATGAAGCTGAACACACGCCGACAAACCGCCGCTGCTACGGAGACGCAATTGCCAACCCCCGCATCGAGTACCGGGGCGCAATGACAAAGCGGGTACACCTGAGCGTAGCCCATCGGTTGCAGGGATAACGTCCGGTTGCTACAATCTTCAGCACGCACCGGCGTGGTGTAGTGGTAGCGCATCGGTCTCCAAAACCGAAGGTGTGGGTTCGATTCCTTCCGCCGGTGCCAATTTCTGACCCTGTGGGCCGATGTTCTACGGGCCGAAGTTCTGTTGATCTTCCCCGATCGGCTCCGTGGCAGCGACGTGGGATGGCTCCGGGATTACCGGAGGAGGAGGTGGAGCCATCCGGCGTTGTTGCTGGTACCGGTTCGACTCTGCTTCGGCGGCCAGCTTCGCCATGATCAGGTTGGTCAACTCCCGGCGTGTCGGCGTTGCGTCCAGTTCGCAGTCGGCAAACACCTCGAAGCCGGGCGACAATTCTTCGATTATCTGCCGCACGCGGGCACTGCCGTGGCGCGTCGCCACCAGCATCCTGATGGATTGAGAGTCGCGCTGCATCGGCTCTTCGTCAGCCTCTTCCAGCGCCTGGTCCAGTTCATCCTCGTAGTCCATCCGGTCCACCACGCTGAGGTTGGCGGTAGCTTCTCGCCGGAGCGTGTCCACCTCTCGCAGCGAACGGGCCAGCTGATCCACCAGGCTGGCGGCGTCGGCAATCAGGGTGGGCAGACTCCTTTGCGCCTGGGCAGCCGCTTTCAGGGCCATCTCGGCCCGTTCCAGAGAATCCTGGCGGTGTCGCTCCCGTTCCTCCATGCGATGCAGCAGGCCGACCTGCTCTCGCAGCGCCGGCGCCTCCGCTGCCAGCGATTCCAGTTTCTCCATGTAACTCGCGGCTTCTTCCGCTTTGCGCAACCTGCGGGCCAGTTCATTCGCGTTTTCGTCAGACATTTCGCATTCCTTGGTTTGCTCAGGCTTGAGTGTATCCGGCCCGAGGTTTTTTAGGATCACTCCGTGCGACGCGTAACCCGACGCTCCGGAACACACCGTATATACCAAAAATCGCCCCGCTGACGGATTGCGACCCGTTGACCGATTTGGGCATTTTTTGAATATTTGCCAAAGGCGCGCCTCTTCTTCCTGAACCGCTGCCGGCTGGAACCGGGCTGGGATAACGCTATAATGGCCCAACTTTTTCGCTCACAGGGGGCATTACGTGACTACCAGCGGCCAGGCTTCTTTCAACTCCGATAATCTCCAGGTGTTCTTCCGAGGGGGGTACGTACCGGTACGCGAAGCCAACGTAAACGTAATGACCCATGCTCTCCACTACGGCACCGGCGTGTTTGAAGGCATTCGGGGCAACTGGAATGCAGAGCAGGGCGCCATCAATATTTTCCGTATGCGCGAGCATTACGATCGGCTCCTGGACGGATGCAAAATCCTGATGCTCGACATCCCCTATACCGCCGACGACCTTTGCAACATCACGGTGGAACTGGTCGAGCGCAACGGCCACAATACCGACATTTACATTCGCCCCCTGGCTTACAAGAGCGAGGAACTGGTCGCCAACCTCAAGTTGCAGGACCTGGCATCCGACTTCACTCTGATAACGGTGCCCTTCGGAAACTACTTGGGCAGCGACCGCCTGCGATGCTGTACGTCCTCGTGGCGTCGCGTCGACGACCCCATGATCCCGGCGCGCATCAAGGCTTGTGGCATCTACGTCAACAGCATCCTCGCCAAAACCGAAGCCACCCTGAGTGGTTTCGATGAAGCCATCCTGCTCAATCACGACGGCCATGTTTCCGAGGGTTCCGGCGAAAACATCTTCATGGTCAAGAACGGCCGCCTTTACACTCCAGCGCTGGAAGACAACGTGCTGGGCGGAATCACCCGCGACACGGTGATGCAGCTGGCCAAGAACGAACTGGGAATTGACGTAGACATGCGTACCATCGACCGCAGCGAGCTGTACCTGGCCGATGAAGTCTTCCTTACCGGCACCGCGGCCCACCTCACCCCGGTGGTAGAACTGGACTGCCGTCCCATCGGCGACGGCCAGCCGGGCCCCATTTCCAAGGAAATCCAGCGCATGTACTTCGATATCGTCGTGGGAAACAATGCCAAGTACCGGCATTGGTGCACCCGGGTTACACCTCGTTTGGTCCCTGCGTAATCGGGAGATTGCCTCCGGCGTCTCCAAGCCGTAAGGAGTCCTGATGTTCTGGCTCACTGGTGCGGCAATCCTGGCAGGTTACCTGCTCGGTAGCTTTCCTACCGCTTACCTCGCCGGCCGTTTCATCACCCCGACCGGCACCGATATAACGTCATTTGGCGATGGCAACGCCGGCGCCGCCAATGTTGGCCGCCTGCTGGGCGCCCGTTGGGGCATTATTATCGCCGCCGTTGACATTGCCAAGGGAGTGGCGGCGGTTTTCGCGCTCAATGCGCTGGCCAACCTCGTGTCTCACGAAACCGTGGATCGCGTTAGCGCCGCGCCGGGTATGTTGGCCGGAGCCGCCGCCCTGGTGGGCCACGTCTGGCCCGTGTGGACGCGTTTCCGAGGCGGACGCGGCGCCGCCACCGCAGCCGGAGTTATGAGCGCGATCCTGTCCTGGCCCGTGCTGATAATGTTTGCGCCTACCATGGCGATCCTGTATCTAACCCGCAGCACCACCGCCGCACTGGCCTTCGCATATCTCTCGACCGTCGCCGTGGCGAAGGTTATTTTCGGGGTGTCGTGGGGACCCATTTCGTATTGCCTGGCATTATTCGTGGCCGTGGGACTGATCCATCTCTGGAGCGTTCTATGCCGCGCCAGACCATCCGGCGCAACGGTGGCATCCGGCCAGGCGGCGCACCGGCAGGAAAAGCCCCGCGCCCTCACACGATAGCCAGGATTGTCGTCCCGGCGACGATCATGGCGATGGCGACGAATTTGGCTGTCAGTGCGGCCGGGCTGATGGATTCCCGCAGCAACCCCAGCGTGCGCCAGCTCAACAGCGTGCCAACCACAAACACAAAAAGCGGGCGGGTCGCCAGCACCGCCGACGCCAGAGAAACCTGACCGTAGCTGAACGACAGGATGAACAGGAAGATGGCCAATTGGGGCAGCACGCCCTCCCCAATGACGAAAGTCCACCAGGCTGGTGGGGTCCGGAGTCCTCTCCACAGGCGCACCCAGTTTGATGGCCGTCCAAACAGGCCGAAAACCGGCGCCATTCCCAGTTCCTGCAACCCAAACACTTCCCACGGGGTCAGGTCTTGCAGTGCAAACTCGGCCAGGAAAAACGACAGACCCAAACCGGCCGAGCTGGCGACCAGCGCCGTCAACCCCGGCGTCAACCTGAACAGCCGGCGCCCGAAACCCTCCACCGAGATCACCGCCGCGCCGCCGATCACCAGCATGATTGCCAGCCATTGCATGGCGGACACCGTTTCTCCCAGGAAGTACAGCGCCAGCAGCGCCACCAGAATCGGATAGGTCTGGCTGACGGCCACGGCTCGCGACGCTTCTCCCAGCTTCAACCCCAGGAACAGCAGAGCCAGACCCGCTCCCAGGCTCACTCCTGATATCAGCCCGATTCCCACGGCCAGCGCTGGAGCCTGGGTGGGCCAGCCGACTATGGCCAGCACGACGACGGAGCAGGTGAGGCGCGTAACGATGGAACCGACGCCAAGTACGCCTACGCCACCCAGGTAGTTGTCCAGCAGCCGCTTGTGGGCAATATTGGCGAGCCCGAGCGAAGCGGCGCTGCAGATGGCCAGGAAAATCCACACGCCGGTCAGCATATCAGACGGCACGGGCCGTGACCGGCAACTAACCCGGGGCCGCGCGTTGCATCTGGCCCCACCTTGCTATAATCCCTCACCAACGCAATTTCTGGAGGGCGACAACATGGGCTGGTCCATTCATCATCCGGTGGGTCTGATTCACTACACTCCCGCGGCCTGCTACCGGGGCTACACGCTGTTTTCAACCACCCGCGGCGGTCGCGACGCTTACCTGATTGACATGCACGGCAACGTCGTCCACCGGTGGCACTCTGATGAAGGCATTCACTACGCCTATCTGCTGGACAACGGCAACCTGCTCTGCCGCACCTTCCCGCCCACTGACGGCGGCGCTGAAACCGTCGGCGGTTCGTCGGCCAGCATCCTTGAGCTCGACTGGGACAGCAACATCGTTTGGGCCTACCGCGACAACATGCTCCACCACGACTACGAACGCCTTCCCAACGGAAACACCCTGCTGCTGATGTGGGAACCCCTTCCCGACGGGTTGGAGGCTCAGGTGCAGGGCGGTTTTGATGTGGACTTCGCCCTGGGGATGCTCGGCGATGTTGTGCGTGAAGTTACCCCCGACGGCGCCACCGTCTCGGAATGGCGTTCCTGGGAGCATCTCGATGTCAACGAGGACGTGATATGCCCGCTGGAAGCCCGACGTGAGTGGACCCACGGCAACTGCATCAACGTAACCGCCGATGGCGACTACCTGGTCAGCTATCGATTAACCAGCACAGTTGGCATCGTCGATCGCGCCACCGGCGACTTCAAGTGGAAGTGGGGCCCGGGCGAAATCTACCACCAGCATCATCCCACCTGGCTGGACAACGGCCATGTGCTCATCTTTGACAACGGCGGACACCGCCGCGGGGTCAGCTACTCCCGAATCGTTGAGATTGACCCGGCCACCAACCAGATCCATTGGGAGTATCAGGGTGCGCCGGCCATATCCTTCTACAGTTACAACATCAGCAGCGCCGAGCGATTGCCCAACGGCAACACGCTGATTTGCGAGGGAGCGCCCGGCCGCATGTTTGAGGTAACACCCCGCTGCGAGGTGGTCTGGGAATACATCAACCCGTTCTTCATGAACAGCGCCGCCGCTGGCGGGACCGGCGGCATGGAATATTCCAACGCTACCTTCCGGTGTCACCGCTACGATCCCGACCATCCCGCCTTCGCCGGCCGCAACCTCGATCCGAAGCGGCACAGCGTCCTCAACCGTCTACTGGCCTAACCGTTACTCCGGCACCGGGCACAAACAGGGCTGGTGCCGACGAACGTAGGGGTGACCCATACCTCGCCCCCTACCCACCTCAAGGCGTAACTTCGTAGGCTACCTCCGCCACCTTGCGATCATCCTCGTACACGTACACCCAATAACTACCGGGTCGCCAACTGTGGGACGATCCGATACTCGTAATCGACCGTGCATTAGTCCAATGAGGCTCGTAAACGTGTCTGCGGACCTGCCGCCTGTAAGCAAACCCATCCTCGTAATATGCCACGTACTCCAGCATCAGTTCTTTTGGGCTTTGGGTTGACGGTAGACCAGCGCGCAGTACGAAATAAATCCGCCCTTGGAAGTCGGCGGCAGAGAATTGATCTGTTCTCGTCTCTTCCGGACGATCCAGGTCTAAAACAATAAACGCTTCGCGTACATACCCATCAACGCTCCGCAAATTGGGGTCAACCGGGCTAGTGTCCAGAAAGCTGAGGTCATAGGGTTCGGTTCCGTAGTACTGACGATTTAGGACGGAATCCACGGCGGCAACTACTTCGGGCGAGGCATCCTTCTTAAAGGCAGCTTCAACTTCCTCAATACCGGCGTGGACGCTATCTCGTTTTGATGCCAGATACAGGTTTCGGAATCCCTCTCGGAACTGTTCGCGGCCCAGCGTCCGGTACAGGTCCAGGAAGAGCCTTTCTCCGAGCGAATAGTTGCAGGTATTCCCTGCGTCCAGTTTGGTGGGATTTGCCCGGTCCAGTTCACCCAAGTTTTCGAAATAGGGGCATGGGTAGCGGTCAGCTACCAGCGGCGCGCCGGTGCGGGCGTTTTCAACGATAAACTCCACAAAGGTGGCCGCTCCCTCATCAATCCAGTCCTCATCGCTGCGCCAATAGTAATGCGCGACTTCGTGGGCTGTGAGTCCCGGAAGAAAGTTTGCCTCGGGGCTGTCGTCATCAACGTCATATTTGGTCCTCTGCGCTATGACGTTCCCGAAATTGGTTCCCGCAGAACCCTCCGCAGCATTGACGGCGTCCTTGAATAAAATCCCGATGAAACGCACTGGAAACTCCTCTCCAATAAATTCCTCGATGGTGCGCACCGTGTGTTCCAGCAAGTCCATGCTGCGCGCCGCTCCCGGAACGTCACGCTGGATGGTCAGTTGCACTTCCCCGGCCAACGGCAGGAAGATGTTGCGTTGTTCGTGGCCCGGGCCAACCGTAGGACGCGGCGTCGGCGTGGGAAGCGGCGTGGCGGTCGGTGTCGGTTGCGCAGTGGGAGTTGGTGTGGGAGGGGGCGTCGCCGTGGGTTCGGGTGTGGCCGTTTGCGGTATCGGTGTTTGCGTCGGTATGAGCGTTGCGGTAGGTGTCGGAGTTGGACTAGGCGCAACCGTCGCAGTTGGAGCCGGTGTGCTCGTCGGCGCGACCGTTGTCGGAGCCGGCGTGGCCGCAAAGGTCGGAGTTTCGGTAGCCGCGCTTTCGGCAGCGACCAGAGCGGTTGTCGGCGCAATGACCGGCTCGCCGCTGCCACACGCCAGCATCGCCACCGCCAACAGGACCCCTGCAACTACCCCAATCTGCCGTCCTGAGAGCCACGTGATGCTAGGGCGTAACCTCATATTGCACCTCAGCAACCTTTCGATCGCCCTCGTATACGTACACCCAGTAACGGCCCGTCGCCCACCGTTGCGTAGATGCCGGCCCTATCGAATACCACGCATTTCCGCCAATAAACCCCGAGTCGGCGGTTATGGTGTTGACGCGGCGACGCGTCTCAAACCCGTCTTCGTACAACTCCACGATGGTCAGGTTAACGTCCCGACTTCCCGACGCCAACTGGTGGGAATATTCCAGGTTGAGCCATACGATGTCGTTGGTGGCTGAAGCAGAAAACGCAGCCGTGGCCGGCCCGCCCTGGGTTGTGGAGATATAAGCGGCGTCGATACGGCCGTTGATTTCCGGCAGCATCGGTTCCACCGCTCCGGTATCGCGCCGGCGGGTGTCGTAGGGGGCCGTTCCGTCATACCAGCGTCGAACCACGGTATCCACAACCGCCTGATCCGCCGCCGCCCGGAACGACGCCGTTACCTGCCCAATGCCAACTGGAGTACCCCGCATGTCGTCAGCGTTGTCTTCCACTTCTGAAGCCAGATACAGGTTCCGGAAACCCTGCCGAAACGCTGCATTTCCCGTACTCAGGAACAGATCGACAAACAGACGTTCGCCCAGGGCGTAGTTGCAGTCGAAGCCATTGGAATCTCTATTGACGTTCAGGCTTTCCAGCGCCCGGATGTTTCGCGCGGCGGCGCAGGGCTGGTTGGTGACGCTCACCGATTTTCCAGTACGGACATTTTCGACTATAGATGCCAGAAAGTCAGACGCCCCTTCGTCGATCCAGTCTGCGTTGCCGTTCCAGTAATAGTGGGCCACCTCATGGGCGATCACGTGCCCGCTGAAATCGGCCTCCCGACTGCCGTCGTCGACATCGAATTTGGGCCGGATGGCAATGTGGGTTCCAACGTTGGTCCCGGCGGCCGAACCGATCACTGCGTCCCCGAACAACACGCCGATGTAGTTGGTGGGCAATGGTTCACCCATGAATTGCTCGGCCTGGCGCACTGCCGTTTCCAGCAGATCCATGCTGCGAGCGGCTCCCGGCCCCGTGCGCAGTATGACCAGCACCGTTTCGCCCGATTCGGGCAATTGCAACGTTCGCTGTTCCAGGTTGATCCGGCTCGTGTCCAGCAGCGTGTTGATCAGGCCGGGGTTCACCCGTTGAACACCGGATGCCATCGCGACGATTTTCGCCCATTCGTCCGTTATGCCCGGTTGCAAACTCGGGTGCGCCAGCATCCGCCGGAACGTGTCCGGTTCGAAAAACACCAGCTGGCGCAACGATCTCATGGCGGCATAATCCGCCGGCCCCAGGCTGTGCAGGAAGGGCATACTACCAATTGTCTCCGCAGCGCCGGCGTCGTGCTGGGCGATGGCATGGAGACTCTCCACTACGTCTCGCTCCTGACCGGTTATGCCGTCGATCACCCATGGGTAACTCAACGCGGTGAAAAGAATATAGGGGTAAAAAGCTCCCAGATTTATCAGTTCCTCGACACCCTCCGCCTCGGATTCGTAAACGCCGTCGGCTACCCACGCCAGCGCCTCGATGGCCGCTGCCGATAGCGGATCCTGCTGCTGCAAATAGGGCCAGTTTTGCAGGTCTGGCAACAGTACCAGGTTATCGACTGGAGGTGCGGTTTCCGGCGTAGGTTCGGGCGTGGCGATGCGTGTATCGGACTGCTCGGTTCCCTGGCCGGATGGCGCGGCGGGTTGCGTCGGCGCTGGCGCATCCGCAGAATTCCCGGCTGGCAATGGTTGTGACGTGGGGAACGTGCGGGCGGGCGGCTCTCCGCTTTCGGCTGGCGCGGGGGCAGCAGCCGTCGCAGTAACGTCCAGCAAGGCCAGGGCCGCCGCAATTGTGGCCTGCACGTCGGGTTTGGGTGTGGGCGCTTCCTCCCCGCACGCTGCCGCTGTCAATATCATCAGCATGAGGGCCAGCGCAAGGAGCACACTGCCAAATTTGGGGCAACGGATCAGTCGAAACATCATGGGTTTGTGTCCTTCACGATCCAGTATACCCAACGGTGAAATCCGTGTCGACTACCGAATACCGGATTGCGTTATAATGCGACAACCATCATACCAACCGAAAATTCACCAAACACCACGGGAGGCGAAAGCATGGGCAAATTGGACGGCAGGGTAGCCTTGATCACAGGTTCGGGCCGTAACATCGGGCGTGCCACGGCGTTGATGATGGCAGCCGAGGGCGCCAACATCGTGGTCAACGCCCGCAGCAACCGGGATGAAGTCGAGGCCACCGCCGCCGCCGTCGAGGAGCTGGGCGTAAAAGCCCTCCCCGTGCTCGCCGATGTATCCCGCAAGGAAGAGGTCGACGCCATGATCGACGCGGCCATGTCCGCCTTCGGTCGCATCGACATTCTGGTCAACAACGCTGCCATCCGCCCCCATAAGCCGTTTACGGAACTGACCGTAGAGGATTGGGAATACGTCCGCGGCGTGGTGCTGGATGGCTCGTTCTACACCGTGCGCGGCGTCATCGAACAGATGGTGGCCAACCATTTCGGGCGCATCGTATTCCTCACCGGCGACGGAGCATTTCGCGGCAGCCCCATGCGCGCCCACGTATCGGCTGCCAAGATGGGTATGGTCGGCATGGCCCGTAGCCTGGCGTCCGAATTCGCCGGCAACAACATACGGGTTAACGTGGTATCTCCCGGCAGCATCGACACCTCCCGGGCCAACCCGGAGTGGTACGCCGGCCGCGTCCCTGACTCCGGAGGAATCCCCCTCGGCCGGCAGGGGAAACCCGATGAGATAGCATCAACGGTAACTTTCCTGTGCACCGACGATGGCGGCTTCATTACCGGCCAGACCATCCACGTCAACGGGGGCCAGGGCTTCTTCGGCTAACCGGTGTCGCCGCAATGAAAACGGGCAGCGCGGCTACGGCTGCGCTGCCCGTTTTTAGGCTGTCATCCCAGATGTCGGGTGCGTCAGACGGCGCGCACCCGGATCTCTTTCAGGTCATCGGCGACGATCAACCCGGCTTCAGTGTGCTCCTGAATGTCCTCGGGCGACCAGCCGGGGGCATGTTCCTTCAGGACGAATCCGCCCGACGTAACCTCAAACAAACCCAGGTCGGTGGCCAACAGCGTGACGGCTCCGGGGGCGGTGATCGGCAGGGTGCATTGCTTCAACACTCGGGGAGCGCCGTTGCGCTGATTGTGCTCCATGGCAATGAACACGCGCTTGGCGCACGCCGCCAGATCCATCGCGCCGCCGATTCCTCCACCCTTGCGGACGGGTATGCGCCAGTTGGCGAAGTCGCCGTTCTCCGAAACCTCATAGGCTCCCATCACGGTTACGTCCACCATACCCTTGCGGATCAGGCCGAAAGAGTCGGCATGGTGCACAATGGCCATGCCCGGCAGGGCAACCACGTTCTGACCGCCCGCGTTCACCAGATGCTTGTCCTCTTCACCCGGCGCCGCCAGGGGTCCGAATCCGATTACGCCGTTCTCCGAGTGAAAGATGATTTCTTTGTCGGGCTCACATTCCAGGTAGTTGGAGCACAGCGTTGGCATTCCCACGCCCAGGTTGACGATCCAGCCGTCTTGAAACTCCATCGCCAGGCGATCGCACATCGTCTGCCGGGACAGGCGGGGTTTGTCTTCCGTAGTCATAGCTCTACTCCTTCGTTTGTCGTTGCGGCGCCTGGCCCAATGCTTCGCTGTGGAGAAATATGCGGTGAGGCGTATGCGGTGAAAGTGGCCCGGTTTAGTCCCAGTCGCCGTCCGGCGGGATTTTGATCAGACGGTCAACGTAAACGCCGGGTACGTGGACGCAGTCGGGGTCGATGTCGCCCGGCTCCACGATGCTGTCTTCGACCTCCACCACGGTGATGTCCGCGGCCATGGCCATTACGGGGTTGAAGTTGCGTTGTGTCAGGCGGAACTGCAGGTTACCAAAGGTGTCGGCGCGCCAGGCCCGTATCAGTGCGAAATCCGCGGGCAGTGGGTATTCCAACACGTAGGTGCGGCCGTTGATCTCGCGATGTTCCTTGCCTTCGGCCAGCTCCGTGCCCACGCTGGCGGGAGTATAGAACGCCCCGATCCCGGCGCCGGCGGCGCGCATCCGTTCCGCCAGGGTGCCCTGGGGCACCAGCTCCGCGTCCAGCACACCGTCGTTGTACATTTGCACAAAGGGCGTGATCTGAGACGGGTGCGTGGGTGCAGTGAAGGCGCAGATCATCTTCTTGACCTGGCCGGCTTCGATCAGCGTGCCCACGTCCACCCGTTCGTCCAGGCTGCCGGCGTTGTTGGATATGCCGGTCAGGTTCTTTACTCCCAGGCGGTGTACGGCGGCGAGCAGGTTGCGCGCCAGCCCTACGTTGCCGAAGCCGGGCGACATGAACGTCATGCCATCCTTCATGTCGGCCACCGCAGAGTCAAAGTCGAGATAAACCTTGTTCTTCATCGGGACAATCTCCGTGCATTGGCCTCATCGCGACGATGTTGGTCGCGGGGAAAGCCGAATGGGTTGGCGTTTAAGGCGTTGCGACGTTGTAAATAAACGGTCGCATCAGCGGCTCATTATACTATCAACATCGCCCACGGCAACCGGGGTTCGCCCAGTTTGGACCTGTTGAATCCCGCCGACCGATGCGGTTCCGGAGCGATCGTATGGCTCAAGCCGCTCCGGAAGAACCGAGCCGGCGCGTTGAGCGCCGGCCCGGTTGGTGTTCAGTGCAGCCAGCGGCAGACCCTCTAATGCCCGACGCGATCCTGGAAATCCCGTTCCGTGGTGGCCGCTTCCACCGCCTGGTACTCGGGCAGGCTGATCAGCGCCTCGACCTCGGCGCGGCGGGCGGCGACATCGGCTGCTCCGATACCTATGTGCCCGGTGTCGCGCAGGCTGGTGTACACCCGTTTCAACCCTTCCAGCGCGGCGATGGCCGGCGTGGTGGCGTAGATGATCACCTTGTAGCCCAGCTCCTCGTATTCCTCCACCGAGATGTCGTCGGTGCCCGCTATGACCAGCAACGGCACGTCAGGACAGCCGGCACGGAAGGTCGCCAGGTCTTCCCGCTGCCGCACTCCGCGAGGCATCACAACGTCCACGCCCAGGTCCCGCAGGGCATTGCCCCGCCGGATGGCTTCCTCCATATCGCCCTCGACGGCAGTGAAAGCGTCGGTGCGGCCGATGATGAGGAAATTGGGGTCGGTCCGCGCTTCCAGTGCGTAACGCATCTTTTCCAGGAACTCGTCCATCGGGATGACGTGCTCCAGGCCGGCGTGATAGGACGCCCGTTTGGGAAATACCTGGTCCTCGATGTGGATGCCGCAGATGCCCGACCGTTCGAAGGTGCGCACCGTGTGCATGGTGTGAACCGGGTCCCCGTAGCCGGCGCCAGCGTCGCAGATTACCGGCAGGTTCACCGATTTGACCACCTTTTCGGCAACGGTCACCTGCTCGGTCAGGGTCATGAGAGGTTCGGTTACGGCCAGGTGTGCCCCGCTCATGTATCCGCCCACGTAGACCGTGTCGAAACCCAACGACTGCACCAGCCGCGCCGACATGGGGTCGTAAGCGCCGGGCGCCAGGATGGTTTCACCCGCAGCCAATCGGGATTTTAGATTCGCTTGCAACGTCATTTTGTTTCACCTCTCCTGTTCAAACTCACATGGATGGCGGCAATGCGGCGGATGAAGAATCATGCGCCGGATGACAAAACGGAACCGGTTCCTGCATGACCTCTTATCCGCGTTGGACCGAATTATTCGGACGGTATCAGCGGCATAACTTCCCGGGAGAATCGTTCCATAGCCGCCTGTTGTTCGTCAGCGGTGGTGGCCGGGAAGCTGAATATGAAATGGGTCACTCCCAGGTCCTGGTATTGGCGCAGGTCGGCAGCGATCTGCTCCGGCCTCCCCGACACCAGCCGGCGGTCGTCTCCCGTGTCATTCAAAAAGACGCAATCGGTGCTGAATACCAGGTCGACGGCATCCTCGGCTCGACCGGCCCGAACGCTGGTGCGGCGCAGTTGGGCGATTTTTTCTGCCAGTTCCTCGGGCTCCAGAATGGCCGGCGGACGCAGCCCGATGGGCATCCACCCGTCGCCCAGGGTGGCCGCCCTGCGGATGGCGGGGCCGGTGTGGCCGCCGATCCAGATGGGTGGGTGTGGTTGCTGCACGGGCTTGGGCAGGAATCCAACGCCGCTGATGTCGTAGTGCTTGCCGTGAAATTCGGGCTGGTCGGACGTCCACAGCTCTTTGAAAATCTGGATGTACTCGTTGGTTACTTCGCCCCTTTGCGAGTAGGTATCAAGCCCCATCGCCTGGAACTCTTCCTCCATCCAGCCCACGCCAGCGCCCAGGATCAGCCGACCCCCGCTCAATACGTCCAGCGTCGCCAGAATCTTGGCGGTTAGAACCGGGTTGCGGTACGGCAGAATCAACACGTGCGTCCCAAGCTTGACCCGCGTGGTGCAGCCCGCCAGGAAGTTCAGGGCGGCCAGTGGCTCGAAGTAGGTGTTGTCCCGCTGGAACGGAGCCACGCCGTCGGCGGCGTAGGGATAGAAGGAATCGACCTCGTGGGGAATTACGATATGGTCGCTCACCCACACGTGGTCAAAGGAAAGGTCTTCGGCTCTCTGGGCCAGGCGACGCAGGTTGTCGGGAGACGCCATAGTGCCCCGGCTGGGCAGCGAGCATCCGAATGTGACGGGCATGGTTTCCCTCCGGCGTCCAGTTTCTGACAGGTCAAATAGTGTGTTGATGCTATACTACCATCGTAACCGCCGCAACCGGCGAGACCACGATTCCGGGTCTTCCGATTGACTACCCACCCACCCGCGCATCCTGAGCCTGTCGAAGGACCATCCGGAGCCCGAGGAACCGAGTCCCTTATGAAACCTGCCGACACATGAACGCAATGAATGACACCCCATCGCCCGGCAGTCGCGTAGTCGTCGCAATGAGCGGCGGCGTAGATTCGTCGGTGGCGGCTTTGTTGCTGCACCAGGAAGGTTACGAAGTCATCGGCGTCACCATGAAGCTTTACGACATCGATCAGGCCGACCTGCCCGACTACTACCGCGGTTGCTGCACCATCGACGACGTTGAAGACGCCCGCGCGGTATGCCGTATTCTGGGTGTGCCCCACTATGTGCTGAACGTGCAGCGCGAGTTTCGCACCTTTGTAATCGATTATTTCCAGAGCGAGTATGAGAGCGGCCGCACTCCCCATCCCTGCATCGCCTGCAACGACAAGATCAAGTTCAGTTTCCTGGCCCAGCGTGCCCAGTTGATGAACGCCACCCACGTCGCCACCGGACACTACGCCCGCATCGTAGCCGGCGGTTCCGGCGCCTGGGAGCTGCTCCGCGGCGTCGACGCCGGCAAGGACCAGTCATACGTCCTGTTTGGAATGCGGCAGGATCAGTTGGCCTCGACGCTCATGCCAATCGGTCACTACCCCAAGGACGACATTCGCCGGCTCGCCTCCGATGCCAATTTCCCCAACGCCGACAAGCCCGACAGCCAGGACATCTGCTTCATACCCACTGGCGATTACCGCGAGTTTCTGCGTCAGCGGACGGACGAACACCCCGGCGACATCGTTGATCCGGCGGGTAACGTCCTGGGCCAACACGAAGGAATCCAATATTTCACCGTCGGCCAGCGCCGTGGCCTGGGCCTCTCCGGTGGGCCGCCTCGTTTCGTCATCCGGCTGGAACCGGACACCCGCCAGGTCGTCGTCGGCTCCGAAGAACAGTTGTACGGGGATAGTTTCTACGCCGACCCGGTGTCCTGGGTATCGGGAGTGCCACCCACCGGTGAACTCAGTGTCACAGTGAAAATCCGCTACAAATTTGCCGAAGCCCCGGCGACAGTTACCCCGGTCGGCTCCGGAGCAGTGGTACGTTTCCATAACCCTCAGCGAGCCATCACCCCCGGTCAGGCGGCGGTGTTCTATCAGGGTGATTCGGTGCTCGGCGGCGGCGTTATCGCCGGGGGTATTCCGCCGGAATCGCCCGAACCTGCGGTGGGACGAACAGCGCCTGCCCATGCCTGATCTGTCGCTGGAGGCAGATTTCAGGGCCCGGGGATTTCAACTGATCGCCGGGGTGGACGAAGCAGGGCGCGGCCCGTTGGCCGGGCCGGTTGCCGCCGCCGCCGTCATCCTGCCACCGGGCGTTTCCGGCGACGAAACGTGGTTAAGCGGCGTCGACGACAGCAAGCGGTTATCGCCGGCCCGACGAGAATCAGCCGCCGTTGCAATACGGCGTTACGCTCTGGCCTGGTCGGTAGCGCAGGTTTCGTCACGGGAAATCGACCATATCGGAATCGGCCCGGCCGTGGTTCAGGCGATGATGGCAGCAGTCTCGGGATTGCGTCCCCCGCCCGACGGTTTGCTCTTGGATTGGGTACACATCAAAGATTGTGACCTGCCGTATCAACGCATCGTCAAGGGTGACCAAAAGTCCCTGTCCATCGCGGCGGCCAGCATATTGGCGAAGGTCTCCCGCGATCGGGAGATGGAGTCGGCGGCCCTGTTGTATCCCGGGTACGGGTTTGCCAGCCACAAGGGTTATGCCACGGCCGATCATCTTCGTCGCCTGGCGGATCGCGGCCCGTGCCCGATTCACCGGCGCTCGTTCCATCCCCTCAACGGCGCACCGAGACGCGACTGGACCACCGCACCGGCAGCACACAGTCGCGGCAGTGCGTAACCCCGACGACGCTGGTCAGGTTGACCAGTCACCCCACCAGATCGGTCAGATTGGGGAGCGGCTGGCCAGGACCCACCTTGAGGCCAAGGGTTATAACATCGTCGCGGCCAATTACCGGTGCCGTTGGGGTGAGATAGACCTGATTGCGTGCGACGGTTCCACCTGGGTATTCGTGGAAGTGCGTACCCGCCGCAGCCAGAGTTACGGCAGCCCCGAAGAGTCGATCACGCCACGCAAGGCGCAGCGTTTGCAACTGGCAGCCCAGCATTATATGACTCAACGTGAGGTCGTTCATCAGGTTGAGCCAGACTGGCGCATCGACCTGATCGCCATCCGGTTGGCAGCCGGCCGGCGTGTGGCCAGCATCCGGCACCTGGAAAACGCCGTTGAGGTGTGAAGCCCAATAGGCATCCCGCAAAACCAGCTCCGGCGTACCTACTTTGTCATTGCGAGCGCAGCATGGCAATCTCGTCGCCATAGCAACAGCGGTTCGCCGACGTATGTTCAACCTCATCAAGATTGCCACGTCGCTATGCTCCCCGCAATGACAGATAAAAGTGGGTACGCGTGAGGGAAAACGAGTGTCGGCAGTTGACTGTACCACCGCCGGATACTAGACTATTTCCCGCCGCACGGACCGACTCGCCTGAGCACACCACGTCTGGCTGGTAACGCAGATACATGGCCATCAACATCGCTGATTACATCCGCAATGTCCCCGACTTTCCCGTCGCCGGTGTACAGTTCAAGGATATTACGTCCCTGCTGTTGTCCCCGGCTGCCTTTAGCGATACCATCGACCGGATGGTGGCCCACGCTGGGGCCAGCAAACCCGACTGTCTGGCCGCCATCGACTCCCGCGGGTTTCTGTTTGCGGCTCCCATGGCGGTCCGGATGCAGCTTCCGCTGTTGCTTATTCGCAAAGCCGGCAAACTGCCCGGCGAAACGCTGGAATTTGATTACAGTCTGGAGTACGGCAACAGCACCCTGGAGATACACGCCGGCGACATCACTCCGGGACACCGGGTGTTGATCATCGACGATCTGCTCGCCACCGGCGGCAGCCTGAATGCCGCGGTCAGCCTCATTGAAAAGGCTGGCGGGATCACTGCTTCCATCGGCGTGGTTATCGAACTGATCGGATTGGGCGGGCGAGATGCCCTCTCCGGATATCACCTTTTCTCATTGGTATCCTTCGAGGTCGATGAGTAGTCGGCCGACCCCAACACGTGCAACCACAGCTAAATCAGGAGGAATTCTGGAATGGCAGACCAAGCAACCATCGGCAACGTTGAAGTAACCGCCGTCATCGATATGGTTCCCCCGCCGCGGGAACCTTCCGCAATGTTCCCCGATGTGCCGGCCGATGCCTGGGCCGGCCATGAAGATTCTTTGGAAAACGGTCAATTGCAGCTCTACTACGGCGTATTCCTGCTCAAGAGCCAGGACGACGTGATTCTAGTCGACACCGGCATGGGCCCCGGGCCGCATCCCGACCGTGGCAACGTTACGGGCAACCTCTATGAGGAGCTTCGGCCCCACCTCGAAACCAACGTGGGCGTCAATAACACCAACGTGGGTCCCAGCGATTCGGTCAATTATGTGATCCACACCCACCTGCACGGCGACCACGTGGGCTGGAACCTGCGCTACTCCGGCGGTATGCCGGCCCCCAACTTCCGCCGGGCCCGGTACATCATGTCCCGCCCCGACTATGACTGGTTCACATCGGAAGAAGGCCGCCGCAACTATCCCTATATTGACCGCCAGGTAATGCCGCTGCGCCGGTTGCGGCTGCAGCAGATTCTGGAAGAGCCCGAACACGTGGTCAACGATGAGATTTCCATCGGGCCGGCTCCCGGCCACACGCCTGGACATCAGGTGGTGTTCATCAACTCCAACGGCCAGCGTGGCGTAGTGATGGGCGACGTTCTGCACACCATCGCCCAGATCAGCGAGCCAACCTGGTGCGCCGGCGTGGACACCGACAAAGAGCAGTCCGCTGCCTCCCGTACCCGTCTGCTGGACGCTGCCGAGGAAGGCGACTGGATCATCTGCGCCGGGCACTTCCCTCCGGGCAAGCAGATCGGCAAGATCGCCCGCGTGGACGGCAAGCGCGTCTGGCAACCCCTGTAACAACTGAATTGGCCGCTCCGCTTCCGCACACCAGGCGGAGGGGAGCGGTTGACCCTTTCCGTGGTGGAACCCGGCGACCGCAGCACCCTCCGCAGTAAAACCCCCAGAGGCGATATGAGCCAACTCCTCAGCCTTCTCGAACGCATAGAACAGGGTACTGGCCCGTCGCTGGGGTTCGGCCCCGGCCGGTCAGGGCGGCTGCCCGGCATGGCCCTGATTGCCCGCTGTTCCGGCGACCTGCCGGTAGCGGTTGCCGCCGCCCGCGAAGCCGCGGATGCCCTGGTGATCGTTACTCCGGATTCCACGCCTGGGGGTCGGCCGGACCTGGACGGCTGCATTTGGGGCGCGGGAGGAGTGCCTCTGCAACCCAGCGTCATCGGCGCGTGGCACGACGCAGGAGCTGACTTCGCGATATCTCCCCTGGCCGGCGCCGTGGTCGACGCCATCGACATCGCCCAACCGGCATTGCTCCACGGCATCAGGATTCCCGACAATGCAGACGACGACACCTGGAGGATTCTGGCCGGCATACCGGTGCAGGCTCTGGTAACCGACCGGTCTGGCCGTTCCGGCCCCTGGCAACTGACCGAGTTGGGCCAGGTCGCAGATTGTGCCCACCGTACCGACAAGCACCTGTTCGTTCGAGTCAGCGAAGCGCCCTCCGCCAACGAACTGCTGGCCCTGCGGCAGGCTGGCGCCCTGGCCATCGTCGTTGAGGCCAACGCCCTGGGCGCGGACGGTATGGCCGCCCTCAAAAACGACCTGCTGGCAATGTCCCGGCCGCAACCGGCCATCCGACGGCGCGGTTCCCCGCTGCCCGGTCCCGGCGACGGCGCGGCGTCCTGACCGATTGATCCAAGGTGTATCAACCCGGTATGCTGCCCGGCGCATTGGTCGCCGCTGAGCCCAATTGATTCTCCAGAACCTGCAATTACTCCAGCAAAGCCCGGCGATCTTTGCCCTGGTTATTGGCATCGGGGTGATCGGCCTCGTCGTCGGATTCACCATCCATGAATTCTGCCACGCCCTGGCGGCCCACGGCGAAGGGGATTCAACCGCCCATCAGATGGGTCGCTTAACCTTCAATCCCCTCAAGCATATTGACCTGTTTGGGTTTATCCTGATCCTGGTTATAGGGTTCGGGTGGGCCAAACCGGTGCAGGTCGATCCGTACAACCTCCGGCACGGCCGATTAGGGATGTCATGGGTGGCGGTGGTAGGCCCGCTGTCCAACATCGTCTTGGCATTTCTGTTGGGCCTGCTGTTCCGGTTTGAGCTGCTGAATACCCGCCCGGGATTCTCCAATACCGAAGACATACTTGCGTTTGCGGTCAGTCTCATAATCTTCTACAACCTGGTGCTGGGTATTTTCAACCTGATTCCCCTGCCGCCGCTGGACGGCAGCAAGGTTTTGGGCGGGCTGCTACCCAGGTCCCTGTACGGCCCCTATCTCCGGTTCGAGCGGCACGGGTGGCTAATCCTCATCGGTTTGGTGATGGCTAACTTTTTGCTCAGTCGGGTCGCCGGAGTGAATATACTCGGATCGGTCATAACTCCCCCGCTGCGGTTCCTGTTTGGACTGGCGGCTGGCCCCGATCTGGCGCGCTTCTTCTTCTGAACTCCAGCGAAACGCGAGAGGTTAAGCCAATCAGCGTGTTGGAAGTCCGGCAAACCCGCTCCGGCGGCCCGAACCTGGCGACCCCCGTCATGGCTTACTATCAACGCCGGCCATGATCATTTCGTCCACCAGCCTGATATCCGACGCTTTCGACACGTTGTTGCGCCTGTGGGTGCTCTGCGCCCTCGCCTCCGCTTTCGCCGTCGTCGTGAACGGTTGGTGCCAGGCAGTGGCGGCAACGCTTTTTGGCGACCCGGCACCCCGGGCGCAGGGACGTCTCTTTGGCAACCCGGTTAGACACTTCGATCCCGTTGGTTCGATCCTGTCCACCATGACCGGATTCGGGTGGGGCCGCGCCGTTCCCGGCAACGCAACCCGACAGGGACGGTGGCCGTCAGTCGCCATCGCGGCGGCCGGGCCGGTGGGGAACATTACGGTGGCATTCCTGCTGGCAGCCCCCATCAAGGCGGGTTGGCTCTCCTGGTCCAACCCCTCTCCCGATAGCCTGGTTCTGGTAATGACCGGCGGGTTGCAGTCGGGAATCTCCGATGTGGTTGGGCTGTTGGTGGTATACAACCTGCTGATGGCGGTATTCCACATCCTGCCGTTCTCACCGCTCACCGGTTACCGGGTGCTGGCGGCGCTGTTGCCGGCATCGGCCGCCGAGACGCACCAGAAGTTTCAGCGTTTCGCTCCGTTGCTCCTGGTAGTGCTGGTGTCCGCCAGCTACGTGCTTCCACCGGGACTGCTGTGGTCCACCATCCTGCCGGCGGCGCAGTGGCTCGGCGGGTTGGCCACCGGCTACTGAACGCAAGCAGCTGGCTACCCGGTCGGCCCGAACCGTTCGGTGCGAATCGATCCTTCAGGGATACCGACCGACAGCAAAGAATCCGCCGCCGCTTCCACAAATCCCGTTGGCCCGCACGCATAGCACAATGGAGCTGCGGGGCCGCAGTTCAGGCCATCGAGTGTCGCCAGACAATCCGCCAGCATGGCAGCATCAATTCGCCGGGCGTATCCTCTCCAATCCGGCGGTTGTTGACGGGTGAAAGAGTATGCTACTTCAACCCGCTGGGTACGGGTGGACAACGCATCCAGCCAACCCCGATAGATGATGTCCGCCGGCGTGCGTACCGAGTACAGCAGCAGGGTTGGTAGTTGTGGAGCCACCGTTTCCCGGTGCGCCAGCATGGATCGCAACGGCACGATGCCAGATCCTCCCGCCAGCAAAAAGAGCGGCCCGCCCATTTCCTGCGTCCAGGTGAACGGCCCGCCGATTGGCCCCCGAACCTCCAGCACGTCGCCCGACTGCACCACCTCGTGGAAATACGGCGACACCTCGCCGTCCGATATCAGCTCAACGGTCAGGTCGATGGTATCAGCGGAGCCGGATGCCATATCAGAGACGCTGGCAATATCAACGGGCGCCGATGCCACCGAGTAGGAACGCTGGGCCTGATATCCGTCGGGGGCAGTGAGGCGCACGTCGTAGTGCTGCCCGGCGCGGAAGGCCCGGGGCTCGCTCAGCCGCAGCGTGAACGTCTTGGCCCGGTGCGTTTCCACCGTTACCCGCTCCACCTCAGCCGTCTGCCACGGCGTCGAGGCGGTTGATGGTAATGTCGGCGCTCCGGATTCAGACACGGGCCGGCACTACGCACGGAGTGAGCGGCGGTGCGTGGGGCGCCGGCGGGCCGTGGTTGGCAGGAAGCGGGACAGTGTAGCTAGTCGCCCCAATACCGCTGTTCTTTCCACGGATCGCCGTACATGTGATAGCCGTATTGCTCCCAGAACCCCGCTCGGTCGGCATCCATGAACCGGATGCCCTGCAACCACTTCGCCGACTTCCAGAAGTACAGGTGCGGCACAACCAGCCGGGCCGGCCCTCCGTGTTCCGCCTCGATGGGTTTCCCGTCGAACTCGAAGGCCACCATCCCGCGCCCGTCGATCACGTCCCAGGTAGGCAGGTTCGTGGTGTAACCGCCGTAGGAAAACGCCATGATGTATGGCGGCACGTCGGTGACACCCGCGGCGACCAGCAGGTCGTCGATTGTAACGCCCTTCCAGCTCGTATCCAGTTTGCTCCACTTGGTCACGCAGTGGATGTCCGTGTGAATCTCCGTCACGGGCAAATCGCGAAACTCTTGCCACGTCCATTGGCCCAGCGGTTCGCCGTCCACGCCAACCAGCGAGAACGTCCATTGTTCCAGTGGTACACGCTGCGTTGGGCCGGCGGTCAGCACCGGGAACCCGCGTTCCAGGTACTGGCCGGGCGGAATGGGTCGTGGCGGCGTTTCGCGGCGGCGTCCGAAAAATCCCCGGGTGGTCATGGGCGCGATCTCCTCATCAATTCAGTCGAAGCATCTGGCGGAGAGGGCGGGATTCGAACCCGCGATACCCCAGAGGGGTATACCGGTTTTCGAGACCGGCGCCTTCAACCACTCGGCCACCTCTCCACATCGGCAAAAGTAACGGGCAGGCCGCCCGTTTGGCGTGGCTAACGGGTTTCGCAACACCAGCCCGTGGTTGGTAACCATTGTACCATCCGTGAGTTTGCCGCCGATGCGGACCCGGGCAGCTTGTTAACCGGTTCATTGGCAGGGCGCTGAAAAATGTCAACGAGTTCGTCAGCTTCACCCGTACTCGCTTTGCCATTACCGGCTTAGCGCGGCAATCTCGTCGCGTTGGTAACGCGGCGGTTCGTCGACGTGTGTTCAGCCGACAAGTTCAGTTGCGTTGACATTGAACCTGCCGGTTGCCAGTATCGCCGCCGTCTGGCAGAATGTTTACTTGCGTGAGCCCAGTATTACATGAGTGCAACTTATTGAACTTGTCCTTGAGGTGTTGCGGTCAACCGCCAGGGACAATAACCGCCGGGCGCGGACCCCACATCGACCGCGGCGACACAGCGACGAATCATAGCCTGAACGGGCCGCCCAACAGCCGGCACGCCCAACCCACCAACGGAGGTACCGCCCCGTGGCATTTGTCAAAGGATTGAAGTGCCGGGAGTGCGACCGGGAATATCCTGGCGAACCCCTCAACGTATGCGATTTTTGCTTCGGCCCGCTGGAAGTCATCTACGACTACGTGACCATATCCGAGGTCATCAGCCACCAGCGCATCACCGACGGCCCCATCAGCATCTGGCGTTATCAGGATCTCCTGCCCGCCTCCGCCGATGATCCAGTGGACATTATGGCCGGCTACACGCCGCTGCTGAAGGCCAAAAACCTCGGGAAGCGCCTCGGGTTGAACAACCTGTACATTAAGAACGACAGCGTCAACCCATCTTTTTCCTTCAAAGACCGGGTGGTGTCCGTTGCTGCCACCAAGGCGGTGGAATTCGGCTATGACACCCTGGCCTGCGCCAGCACCGGCAATCTGGCCTGCAGCGTGGCCGCCCACGCCGCCCGCGCCGGCATCGACGCCGTGGTGTTCATTCCCGCCGACCTGGAACGGGGCAAGGTTATCGGCGCCGCCGTCTACAACCCCACCCTGGTGGCGGTGGAAGGAACCTACGACGAGGTCAACCGTCTATGCAGCGAGGTCAGTGACAACTACCCCTGGGCTTTCGTCAACATCAACATGCGACCTTACTACGCTGAAGGCAGCAAAACCCTGGGTTACGAGGTTGCCGAGCAATTGGGTTGGCGCGTGCCCGACCATGTGGTGATACCATCGGCATCGGGCGCCATGTTCACCAAAATATGGAAGGGATTCAACGAACTGGCGTGCCTGGGCCTGCTGGACGGTGTGCCGCCCATGTCCTTCGGCGCCGACCAGAACACCGTGCATCATCCCGCCGTAACCACCCGTATGCACATGGCGCAGGCCAGCGGTTGCTGTCCCATCGTAACCGCCTGGGAGAATCATCAGAACCAGATTCGCCCGGTGCGCCCCAACAGCATCGCCAAATCCCTCGCCATCGGCAACCCGGCTGACGGCATCTACGCCCTGCGCGTCATCCGTGAATCGGATGGGAGCGGCTACGCTGTGCCCGAAAACCAGGTGGTGAATGGCATCAAGCTGCTGGCCGAAACGGAAGGCATCTTCACGGAGACCGCCGGCGGAGTTACAATCTCGGCCCTCAAATACCTGGCGGAATCCGGTGCCATTGGCCCCGACGAACTGACCGTGGCGTACATCACCGGTAACGGCCTCAAAACCCAGGAAGCAGTGGAGGAAGTGGTCAACCCACTTTTCATCAAACCGATGTTGGGTTCTTTTGAAGCAGCCCTGGAAAAGAGGGCGGCAGCCGGAGCCCGGTAGTTTGTTCAGCACGCACACACGCAACTGCCAGATTGGTACAGGTAAAATATGGTGAAGCAACGGGTACGATTCACCTTTTCCGGCGAACTGGTTCGCGAGCCGATTATCTATCGTCTGGGCAAGGATTTTGACGTGATAACCAACATTCGTCGGGCCGATGTACGCGCCGATGTCGGTTGGGTGGTGCTTGAAATTGACGGCAGCGATAACGACATCCAACGCGGCCTGGACTGGGTCGGTTCCACGGGTGTTCGGGTAGATCCCATCGCTGGTGACGTGATCGAAGGCTGATGCCGGACGGCAGGGCGCTGGGCTCTCCGGGCCGCCGATTCTTTACTGCACAATAGGAGGAATATCCCTGATGGGTGTTTTGGTTCGCATTCCCACTCCCCTGCGGCGCATGACCGGCGGGGTCAACCAGGTTGACCTGGACGTGGCCGATCTGTCCCAAATGATCGACCGGTTGGAGTCCGACTATCCTGGCTTCAAGGAGCGGCTGCTGGACGAAGAAGGCGAACTGCGTTACTTCGTCAACATCTACGTGAATGGAGAGGATATCCGCTTCGACGACGGCCTCAACACCGCCATCAAGTCAGGCGACGAAGTCAGCATAGTACCGGCCGTAGCCGGCGGCTGAACGGTAGCCCACCGCTGGCCGTAAGAAGGTCGGCGGGTTCCCCGCAATCACAACTCATGAGCTGGCCTGGCTGGGGCAGAAGTATGCCGCCGATGGCTGAAACCCGGTTGAGCGAACGAATCAACAGCTATCTTCCCATGTTGTGATGCGGCCCATCCCGGTCATCCAGGATCGCCGCCCGGCAGCGTTGCTGTCGGGCTTTTGCGTGGCTACCCAACCCTCGCTGGTATACTGGCCCGACATTCCCATTTACAAAAACTGAGTTGACTGGAGGCACCACTTATGGCCGACCAAATCAAGATTTCCATGCGCGTTCCGGGCACCTCACCCATGCCCGAACTGCTGAGCCTCATCAAGCAAATCGAATCCGCCGGATTCGCCGGCGCCGGCATCCTGGACAGCCAGATGATATGCCGCGACACCTTCGTAACCATGGGTCTGGCCGCCAGCGCAACCACCACCCTGAACCTGTTTCCTGCGGTTACCAACCCCTTCGGACGCATCCCGTCGGTGTTGGCCGGCGCGGCCCAAACCGTTGCCGAGATCGCCCCGGGACGCACCAGGTTCATCATCGGCACCGGCTACACCTCGGCCAGCACCATCGGTCGTCGCCCGGCGACCCTGCGTCAAATGCGACGCTGCATCATCGAAGTCAAAACTCTCCTGGCCGGTGAGTCGGTGGATTACAACGGAATGTCCAATCGGCTGGACTTCGCCGGCAGCGACGGAGGCCAGGGGGTTCCGGTGCTCATGGCGGCGTCCGGCCCCCGTTCCCTGGAACTGGCCGGTGAGGTGGCCGACGGCGCGCTGGTGCTGGTTGGGTACACTCCGGGCATCGTGGGCAAGGCGATGGAGCATCTGGAAACCGGAGCCAAACGCAGCGGCCGCACCCTGGACGACCTCGACATCGTATTCGCCGTAAGAACCTGCGTCGCCGATTCCATCGATAAAGCGCGCCAAATGGCTCGTCCGGTGTCAGTCCATTGGGGATTGATGTGGGGTGGCCCCAACTGGTTGCCGTACTCCGGTCTGGACATCCCCGATTACGAGGTTCCCCAGGCGGTCCGCGATGTTTATCCCGACCTTGGCCACGCCCCCAACTGGGATGAAGCCATCGAGTTGACCCAGTTCGTCAGCGACGACGTGAATACCCAGCTGTGCGACGCCATGGGCTTGATCGGCACACCCGAACATTGCACCCAGCGCATCACCGAGATGGCACAACACGGAGTCACCGAGCTCTACCTGATGCCCTGCCTGACCTTTGCGCCGCCTCACGCCGAAGTCGAAGCCTTCGGCCAGCACATCATCCCCGCGCTGGCCGCCGCCGGCGTGGGGGCATAGGGGCTTCGGGACGACCGTCCCTAGCGCCGGGTTCTCTATCTGCACGATTTACATTTCCCGATAGTTTTAACCACTCTGGAGGATTCAAAATTGACAGCCGCGCCGCACAGCTTTGAACACGCACGTAGTCTATTCTTGGAGTTCAAGTCGGGATTGCAAAGGGAAACCGATATTTTGCGAGAGTTGCTGGACGCCTTCGAAATATTGGTTGATGAATACAATCCTCACTACCATGAAAACAGGTTCATCGCTGGTGGAGCAGCAGAGGTGATGTTAGCAGCGACGATGCGCTGCGTGGGTTTGGAGAACGTGACGAACGTAGGGATCGAACAAGCGGGGGTTGACATCGTGGTGGAACGTGAGGGGTTCTCGGTCAAAACCACGTGGTCACAGGGTTCATCGCCGTTTGGACTGGTCAATAATATGGGGGAATCTGAACCAACGTGGACCACGCCGACTATCTTCGTCATAGCGGGTCGTGGCATAGGCTACGCCGACCCCTCTTTGCTACCAGATGCGACGAGGTGGAACGGCAATCAATTACAGCTTCTGCGCGGACCTCTGAATCGCTTGCATAGGGAACATCCCCAATGGATGCTGGAATGTGATGTGAAGTTCCGCCCACCTCCGCCGGAAGAGCGCGAAATGGCGGATAGCGAAGCAGTAGCGGCAAATATTTTGAATCGTAATGAAAGAAATCGCCCGCGGTTCCCAAGATTACGAAGGCACATTAGAAATTGAACGTTTATGCTCTCATCGGAATCACTTAGGTCTCCGACGATCAACCATAACGATTGTGCTCATCTAAGAGCTTTTTTGCACTACGATCCAGTCCGCCGGGTTCCGCCTGACTACGGCGGCGATATTTGGCGGAACCGTTCGTAGACTGGCCCAACGGAATTTTCTCAAAACGCGCAGTGAGTTGCTTGTCCCTCAAGCGCAATGGCTCCGTAGCTCGCTGTTTTGCGTACTGGATATACTCGGACTCGGTATCGTAACCCACTGCCACGCGATCCATCGCGACAGCGACTTTCGTGGTCTGGCCAGAGCCCACAAACGGATCCAACACCGTATCCCCTTTGTAAGAATACATGGCAATCAGCCGATTGGGGATTTCCTCTGGGAACGGGCAAGGATGGTCAATCAACCGGGGTGGCACGGGCGCGATGTGCCAAATGTTGTTGGCCGTATCCATTTTGAATACGTCGTCGATTTCATACCGACTCGCTTCTCGATTTCCATTGGCCTCGTGGTAAATCCTTGGGCCGGGCTTGCGAAAGAGAAGGATGTATTCCGTCATGATGTTGGGGTAGTAGTATCCCGGGTAAGGCTTTTGGATCGCAGAGCCAGCACGTCGGACCCCCGCCGTTGTTTTGTGCCAAACGATGTCCTGGTGGAAATCCCAGCCAACGGACATCATCCGGCCTGTCAAATCGAATGGTACGGGAATGTGCTTGCCATCCAGCAGAACCGTGCCTATTACGACAGCGCAGAACCCCCCGGGTTTGGTGACGCTAAACACCTCGCTGAAAACGCGGGATAGCAACCCAAGGTAATCGTCGTAATCGTTGAAACCCTGTTTATATTGCCTGGTGCGGTACCAATCGCCGTTCGAGCCGTTGACGTGGATGTCGTAATCGATCGAATTCCAGTACGGCGGCGACGTGATGGTCAGCGCCACTGAGTCCGGTTCGAGCTCAGGCATCCGTTCGCTGCTGTGGCAGTAAAATCGAGGGGTTGTCATGACGAATGGTGAACGCATTCAGCGGCTATGAAGTTGCGGGTGGCGCCGATTATACTAGAAACGGCGTCTTGCCGCGCGGTTCTAAAGCACATTATCCCGGTGTCATCATCAAAGGTCGTTTTGAAGAATTTGTGCAAAAAATTCCAATGGGCCATTTGCCTATCATCGAACCAACCCAGCCCTTCCTCCACTTGTATAGCACCCAGGTGATGCGCAATTGCTCGTTCGTCGGTAACCAACCACCCCTCCGAGCGAAACGGTCGTGCTTGAAAACACACGGGGTCGCCATTTGGGTACAATGCCGTGGTGACGATAACTTGGAACTGTTCGTCAACGTCGACAATTTCGATGACGTTTTCCTCCACAGAGTAGTTCAGATTCGGTGGCATTGGGTTCAGGTTCTTCATGTGTCATGTCCTATTCCGGTTCGTGCGCAGTAAGGGCCGCGGTATTTCGCCCCATTCAACGATAAAATAGCTCAGTTGATCCCGATGCTCAATGACCTGAGGGTCACTAATATTTCTTGAATATCTGGTATTCTCGACGCTGTTGAACGCCCTACGGAATTGTGCTTACTGACTTTCCGCTTGAGATACGCACCATGCCTGATAACCCAAACCAACCAACTCCCCGCTCCCTTTCCGGCCTGCCCATCGACGGACTGTACTCGCCGGATCAGTTAGCCGCCTCCGGTTTCGATCCCGCTGCCGACCTTGGCGAGCCGGGTCAGTTCCCGTTCACTCGCGGCGCCTACCCCAATATGTACCGGGGACGTCTGTGGACCCGGCGACAGATCGCCGGCTTTGGCACCGCCGCCGCCACCAACGAGCGCTACCGGTTCCTGCTCGACCACGGCCAAACCGGACTCAGCACCGACTTTGACCATCCCACGCTCACCGGCTACGACTCAGACCACGAACTGGCCGAGGGCGAGGTTGGTCGTTTGGGCGTCGCCATCGACTCCGCCGCCGACATGGACGAGTTGTTCGACGGCATCCCCCTCGAGCAAGCCAGCGTATCCCTCACCATCAACCATCCGGCCATCGTCCTGCTCGGCATGTTCCTCAGCGTCGCCGAAAAGCGGGGCACCCCCTGGCCCGCCCTGCGCGGAACCGTCCAAAATGACTCCCTCAAAGAGTTTCACGGCCAGAAAACCTTTGCGCTGCCACCTGGCCCGGCCCTCAAACTGACCACCGATGTCGTGGAGTTCTGCACCCGGCACGTCCCCAACTGGTACACCATTTCCATCAGCGGTTACCACACCCGCGAGGCCGGATCGGACGCCGTGCAGGAACTGGCCTTCACCATCGCCCAGGGCATGGCCTACGTTGAGTCGGCGATGAAGCGCGGCCTGCCGGTGGATTCCTTTGCGCCGAGACTGTCCCACTTCTTCGGCGTACACAACGACTTCTTCGAAGAGATCGCCAAATTCCGCGCCGCCCGACGGATGTGGGCTCGCATCATGCGCGACCGCTACGGCGCCACCCGCTCCGAGTCCATGCGAATGCGCTTCCATACCCAAACCCTCGGCTCCACCCTGGTGCGCCAGGACCCACTTAACAATATCCTGCGCGGCGGATTGCAGGCGTTGGCAGCCGTGCTCGGCGGCACGCAGTCCCTCCACGTCAGCGGCTACGATGAGGCGTACGACATCCCCTCCGAAGAAGCCATGCGCATCTCCCTGGCCACCCAGATGATTCTGGCCAACGAGAGCGGTGTTTCCGCCACTCCCGATCCACTGGGCGGTTCGGCCTACCTGGAGACCCTGACCACCCAGCTGGAAGAAGCCGCCCACGCCTACATCGCTCGCATCGACGATATGGGCAACGGCAGTATGCTGGACGGAATGCTGGAGGCCGTCTCCAACGGCTATATCGAAAGCGAAATCGCCCAGGCATCCTACCGCTACCAGCAGCGGGTGGAAACCGGCGACTACACCATCGTCGGCGTCAACGACGAATACCGCGACGACGCTGCTTCGTCCGGATCACTGGAACTGTTCGAGTTTGACCAGGGCGAAGAAGATCGCCAGATCGCCCGTCTCACGCAGGTGCGCCGATCCCGCAGCGAAGCCGATGCTGCCCAGGCCATCCGCCGCATCGTCAAAACCGCCCGCGACGATGCCAACCTGCTGCCCGCCATCATACCGGCGGTCGCCGCTGGGGTAACCGAGGGCGAAATCATGGGCGCTCTGCGTGACGAATGGGGCGAATACGTCGATCCGGGCGTATTCTAAAGATGCGTGTCCCCAGTACGATGATCCCGCATCCGGCCCCACTGAGCTGATTAATCCATGACCGTCCACAATAATCCGCCGCCTCGCGTTCTGCTCGCCAAACTCGGTTTGGACGGCCACGACCGCGGCATCAAAATCATCGCCCGCGCCCTCCGCGACTCTGGCATGGAGGTCGTGTACCTGGGGATGCGCGTAACCGCCGATCAGGTTGCCGCCGCCGCCGCCCAGGAGGATGTGGACGTCGTTGGCATCAGCATTCTGTCCGGAGCGCACATGCGGCTCATCCCCCGCCTGATCGATGCGCTGCAACGCCACGGTCTGGCAGACGATAGCGGCGACGGCGGCGTGATGCTGCTGGTCGGCGGTACCATTCCCGACGGCGATGTTGAACCCCTCCACCAGCTGGGAGTCAACGGCGTGTTCCCCGTGGGAAGTTTCACCGGCCAAATGGTCGATTTCATCCAAACCAACCTCCCCCGCCAAATCCCCTCCCCGGTCGACGGAGAGGGATAAAGCCTGCCCCCGGCTTGACGCGGGGTGAGGGTGCATACCCAATGACGCAACCATCCTGGCCGCCCAAATACAACCCGACCTACGTTCCCCGCGACGACGCTGAGCACTGGGACGCCAGGCTGGAAACCATGCCTCCCGCCCAACGCGATTCCGTCATTCTGGAGCGGCTGCGGGGACAGATCCGGTACGCCTGGGAACACAGCGGTTTCTACCGCGAATTCTGGCGGGATGCGCCCGTTGATCCGGCCAACCTGCGCAGCCTCGATGAGTTTGCCCAACTACCCACCCTGAACAAAGACCACGTGCGCCAGGAGCAGGAGGATCACCCTCCTTACGGCAGGTTCCTGTGCGTGCCGCCCGAGCAAATCTACCGCGTGCACGGCACTTCCGGCACCACGGGACGTCCAACGGCATTCGGTATCAGTCGCACGGATTGGGACCGCATCGGCGAGGCCCACGCCCGCATTCTGTGGGCTGCCGGCCTTCGACCCAACGATACCGTGATGGTGGCCGCCGTGTTCAGCCTGTACGTTGGTAGTTGGGGGGCACTGGTCGGCGCCGAACGTCTAGGAGCGGCCTGCTTCCCCTTCGGAGCCGGCGCCCCGGGCCAAACCGAGCGCGCCGTCGAGTGGGCCCAGATGGTGCAACCCACCGCCCTCTACGGCACCCCGTCCTACGCGCTCTACCTGGCCGAAACCGCCCGCGACTTGGGCGTTGATCCCCGTACCGATTTCTCCTTCCGGTTCATGTTTTTCAGCGGAGAACCGGGAGCCAGCGTACCAGCCACCCGTCAGGCCATCGAGGACGCATTCGGTTGCTACGTGGTCGATCAGGGCAGCATGGCCGAGATGACTCCGTGGATGACCAACGGCGGCTGCCGCCATCTTTCGCGCGGTATGCACCTGTGGCAGGACATCGTCTACACGCAGCTGGTGGATCCGGATACTCACGAGCCGGTGCCCATGGGCGGCGAAGGTGTGCCCGTCTATACCCACCTGGAGCGGGAATCCCAGCCCATGATTCGATACTGGTCGGGAGATATTGCCCGCTGGGAGATGGTCGACTGCCCCTGTGGCCGCACCTATCCCACCCTGCCGTTGGGCATCTATGGGCGCGCCGACGATATGCTTATCATCCGGGGACAGAACGTGTTTCCCTCCCGCGTCGAAGATGTGCTGCGCTCAATGGACACCTTCGGCGGCGAGTTCCGCCTCGTGGTGGAGCGGGAGCGCGGTTACCTAGATCGCCTCACCGTGCAAACCGAGGTGGCCGCTCCGGTATGGGCGGCGGCCGGCGAGACTGACCCGTCTGGTCTGGACGGTTTGCGCGAAGAAGTAGCCGCGGCGTTGCGGCGTGCCCTGGGTGTGGGAGTGGCCGTCGAATTGCGGCCGGAAGGCGAGTTCGAGCGCACCGAGTTCAAGGCCCGCCGCGTCATCGACCTCCGGTAGGGCCTCCGGCAGCCTTCTGCTCCCGTGTTTGCCTTCTCCCGAATACCCGGTCCACACCAGGACGTCGGAGAGGTCATCCCCGGCCTGTATCAACGCTCCCTGCGTACCACCAGCGTCTTCGTCATCGTAACCCCGCCGGAGTCTCCCGGCGTTCCGGCGGTTGGTCAGCCTGGAACCGATGGAAAAACCGTCGGTGGCGTTGGTCGATGCGGGATGGCGCATTCATAGCCGCCGGCTGCTCAACTACCTGCACCATTTGGGCCACCAGCCGGATTCGGTGCAGCGCCTGATTTCCACTCACTACCACCTCGACCACATCGGCGGGATGGCCGGTTTGCAGGCCGCCACCGGGGTTGCAGTCCAGGCCCACCACCTGGAGGCTGCCAATCTGCGGGGAGAACCGGGCCATCGCCTCCCCAATCCGGTGCAGCAGTGGTGGCTCAGGTTCCCGCTGTGGCCGTTGATTGCCGCATTGCGCCCGCCCGTTATTCCTCGCGTCAACCCTCTGGACGATGGCGATACCGTCCCCCTGCTGGGTGGCGCACGAGTCGTTCACACGCCGGGTCACACGCCCGGCAGCATCAGCCTGCACTTCCCCAATGAAGGCGTCCTGATTGTGGGCGACGCCCTGCAACGGCGCGGGAACCGGGTAACCCTGCCGTCCCGTTTCTTTAGCAGCGATATGGCGACGGCTGGCGAGTCGGTACGCAAAATGGCCGGCCTGGACATTGAGACAATCTGCTTCAGCCATTTCCTGCCCATGCGCAAGGGCGCCCGCGCCGCATTGCGCTCCCTCGCCGAGTATGTATCATGACTCTGTCGCCGCGAATTGCGCTCGCCCCCTGTCATTGCAAGACACGCAGCGAAGCGGCAATCTCGTCCACGTAACTGTAACTGTTCAGAGTTGAAGGTAGTATTCTGGCCCCAACCTGGATTCCCGCTTTCGCGGGAATCCAGGAAGCCGAGGATAAGCAACATTGCCGTTTAAAGACGTCTCTGGATTCCGGCTCAAGGCCGGAATGACGGAGTGGTATAGAAATCCCGCGTCGAGTTTAAACTATTATACGTAACTCACCGCTTCCCCAAAACACTACCCTGATCTCACGAGGTTAATCACCAATGCCTACTGACCCAGAAAGGGCTGACGACACCGCCCTCCCCCTGCCCCTTGAAGGCATCCGCGTTCTGGATGCCACCCACATCGTCGCCGGCCCATTCTGCTCGCTGATTCTGGCCGACATGGGCGCTGAGGTCATAAAGATCGAGCGCCCCCGCACCGGCGATTTGGCGCGTGGTCGTGGCCCATTCATCGGCGACGCGGACACTGGAAAGATCAGCAGCCGCTTCCTCGGCGTCAACCGCAACAAGAAAAGCGTTACCCTCGATTTGCGAAACGCCACCTGCAAGGTTGCCTTCGAGAATCTGGTAGCCAACTCCGACGTGCTGCTGGACAACTGGGGTCCGGGGGCCTTTCGCCGGCTGGGATTCGGATACGATCGCCTGCGGGAGATCAACCCCCGCCTCATCTACGCGGAGATCACCGGCTACGGGGATGGCGACGGAGATAGCGTCGCGGCCCCTATTCGGACTGGCCGGCCAACAACCTCGCCATTCAGGCCATGTCGGGTTGGATGGACATCACCGGCGCACCCGGCGGAACGCCCCAGGCCGTCGGCGACAATATGGGCGATTCGGTGCCTGGCGTCTGGGCCGCCCTGGGCATCGTCCTGGCGCTGGAAACCCGTCGGCAAACCGGCTTCGGCCAGCACGTCGACGTGGCAATGTACGAGTGCATGGCCTCTCACGTCATCAGCAACATGAATGCGTACCAGGCCACCGGAAACACGCCCGGCCGCACCCGTCAGGCATCCCTGGGTCCTGGGCTGGTGTTTCGCGCCGCCGATGGCTACGTCGTAATGGCAGGTGTCCGCAGCCCCCAACGCCTGGCCGCCCTGTGGGAACTGGTGGAGCACCCTGAATTGCCCCAGCAGGACCCACGCTACCTGGAGCAGTTCCCCGACGCCGATTTCGTGTTCGATGAGGTGATTCCTGCCATAGAGACCTGGTCGTCTCAGCGCCCCAAGTGGGAAGTCGCCGGCCGATTGACGGAAATCGGCTTCTCGATGGGAGTGGCCCAAAGCATCGCCGACCTGGCGGACTGTCCTCAGCTGGAGGCTCGCGACATGTACGTCGAAACCGCCGATACCCTGGGCGGAACCTTCCGCTCGCTGGCAACACCCATCCAGCTCACCGCCTGCCGCCCGTCCGCCACCGGCACACCGCCAACCCTGGGTCAACACAACTCCGACATCCTTTGCACCCTGGGCGGCCTTACTCCCGAGCAGCTGGCCGAACTGGAAGCGGAAGGCGCGGTGTAATCCCCCGCTCATCTTGTCCATCCGTGCCGGATTCGGCTCCCTCTCCCTTGATGGGAGAGGGTTGGGTGGGGGCGACCCCCCTGTCATTGCGAGCAGCGTAGCGACGTGGCAATCCCGATGGCAGGGGCGGCGAACCACCGTCATTCCGGACTTGATCCGGAATCCACCGGGGGGCTGGGGTGGGTGGATTCCCGCTTTCGCGGGAAAGACGGGGGGTGAGGGGCGTACCCTCGACTGACCCCCCTGTCATTGCGAGAAGCGTAGCGACGTGGCAATCCCGCTACCCGCCCCCTCGGTATCGCGAGAGCCGATGACACTTATTCGTAGCTGTGGTAATCTTTCGGTATCCGATCACAAAATCGCAGGAGGCCGAACCCGATGTGCGCTATGGTAAAGAACCGTAATGGATTGACCATCACCACCGCCTCGCCAGCCGCCGCCGACCTCTATCAGCAGGGCCTTGACTTGGTGCTGTCCCAGAACTACGGGCCGGAATCCAAGCTGCGAGATGCTATCGAGGCCGACGAGGGGTTCGCCATGGCCCATACCGTGCTGGCCTACGTGCTCCACCTGCAGATGGATGTGCCCGCCGCCCGCGCCGCCGCCACCAAAGCCCTCGAGTTATCGGCCGGCATCTCCCGGGAAGAGCGGCAGACCACCCAGATAGTGCACTCTTTCACCCACGGCAAGGGCACCGAGGCCATCCGCCTCGTCGACGAACACCTGATTGACTTCCCCACCGACACCCTCGCCATGCGCGTTGCCCAACGTCTCTACATGCTGGGCTGTTTCGGAGCCGGCGTCCCCGATTTCCCCAATCATCTGATGAAGATGATGACCAAGGTGGCCCCCGCCAACGGCGATGACTGGGCCTTCTTGGGGCAGTATGCTTTCGCCCATCATGAAACCAACCAGCCAGCAAAGGCAATGGACCTGGCTACCCGCTCACTGGAAGGCAATCCCCAGAACGCCGTGGCCTGCCATTCAGTTACCCACTCTTACTTTGAGCAGGGCGACGCCGCCAACGGAGGCCGCTGGCTGGCCGACTGGCTCGACGCATTCGACCGCCGCGCCTCCTATAACGTCCATCTATCCTGGCACCTGGCGCTGTTTGAACTGGCCCAGGGCCGCTACCAGCAAGCGCTCGATCTCTACGAGACCCACATCCGGCCCGGTGTGCAGGCCCGCAATCTCGCCAACCTGGCCGACTCTGCCTCCCTGATGTGGCGGCTCCAGATCTATTCCGGAGAAACCCCGGGCAAACCGTGGGATGAGGTTCGCGTCCAGGCGGCCCCCGCCGCCGACAGTCCCGGCGCGGCCTTCCGCGACTGCCACGCCGCACTGGCATTCGCCGGCTCCGGTGACACTGACGCCTCCCAACGGCTGGTGGACCGTCTCACCGCTCAGGGCGAAAAGGGAGACGACTCGCCCGCGAAATGATCCTGCCCATCGCCCAGGGCGCCGCCGCTTTCGCCGCCGGTGACTATGCTGAAGCCGCCAACCTCATGGGGCCGACCTACCCCATGATGGCCCGCATCGGTGGCAGCCACGCCCAGCGCGAGGTGTTCGAAGATACTCTGCTTGAGTCCTACGTCCGTGCCGGCATGTACGACGAGGCAAAATCAATGCTGGAAGAACGCCTCTCTCGCCGTTCCTCGCCTCGCGATACCTACTGGATGGGTCGTCTGGAAGCTCAAGCCGTGCAGGGCAACCGCGAGGCGTCTCGCCGGCTGCTCGCTGAAGCGCAGGCTGCCTGGGCGCCCACGGCTGAACAGGGTGCGGCTGAGCTGCAACGCCTGGCCGCTGACGCCCAGCGATAGACCGATCAAGCGAAATACGCGATTGCGAACACTGCGCTCCCTGCCAACCGTGGGGAGCGCTAATCCTTGGCCGGCTCGGGTAACCGATTCAGCAACGATTCCAGCCCCAGGGTCTGGCACAGCTCGGTAAACTGCGGCTGACGTGCGCCCGCCCATCGCAGATCATCAGGCGTCGTTTCCGGCAGCGGAACATCGAGACGCAACGTCGCCAGTTGGCGGTACAGCATCGCGTCTTCCCGCTGGTTCGCTAACGACTCCGCCAGACCCGCGGCGCCCCGTACCTTCACGTCCCAGTGAGCGGCGTCATGGGGGATGTTGCCAATGCTGCCGTATCTGGTCAGCACTGTTCCCGCCGAGCGAGCGCCCCAACGCGGTATTCCGGGAATACCGTCCGCCACATCGCCCACCAGCCCCAGGTAGTCGGGTATCGCCGCTGGCGGAACACCAAACTTGACCGCAACGCCGGCTTCGTCCATCACCTCGGCCTTTCGGCGATCCAGCATTACCACGCGGTCGCCCGACACCATCTGCGCCAGGTCCTTGTCCGGCGAGCACATCAGCACCCGCTCCACGTCGGCAAATACCGCAAAACGCGCCGCTGCCGCTGCGATGGCATCGTCCGCTTCAAACTCGTCCATCGGCCAAACGGTAATACCCAAAGCCGCCGTCATCTCTTCCGCCAGCGGAAACTGTGCCAGCAGCGCCGGTTCAACACCGTCGCCCGTTTTGTATCCATCGAACATGTCGTTGCGAAAAGAGCGAATGACAGTATCAAATGCCACTGCCACGTGCGTAACGTCAGGTTGACGCAGCAACGCGATCAACGATTGCGTCAGCCCGTGGGTTGCCTTCACGTCGCGTCCGTCGGGCGCCGTGCGCCCCGGTCGCGGCGAATAGTGTGCGCGAAACAGCTCGTAGGTGCCGTCAACCAGATGAATATTCAAGGTTCACCAACCCGTCGCCGTTAGTCGCACCCGCCGGAGTCTCTCGCGCGATCTCCGGAGCCTGAACCGGGTTCAGGAAATGCTAGTCCAGGTAGCGGTAGCCCGGCACCGTCAGGAATTCGATGAATTCGTCAGCCAGCACGATTTCGTCCAGCAGCTCCACCGCCTTATCCAGCGCTCCGGTGTTTTCCGACCCCCGTTGCTGGACCAGCGAGGCCACTTCCTCGGCGCGTATCCGCCGGTACAACTCAGCGGTAATGGGCCTTCCGTCGTCCAGCGCCGCTCCCTGGTGAATCCACTGCCACAGCTGCGACCGGGAAATCTCCGCGGTGGCGGCGTCTTCCATCAAACCGTAGATGGCCACCGCACCGTTGCCCCGCGTCCAGGCGTCCACGTACTGCAACGCAACGCTGACGTTGTTGCGCAGGCCCGCTTCGGTAATCTGACCCTCTGGAACCTCCAGCAGGTCGTCGGGAGCGATGCGCACCTCGGGAATGACACCCAGTTGATTGTCGCCCGAGAAAGCCGCCTGGAACACGTCGAGTACCGGCGCAACCAACCCCGGATGGGCGATCCACGCGCCATCAAAACCCTGGCTGGCTTCCCGCTGTTTGTCCGATTGCACCTGTGCGAACGCGGCCGTGTTGGCAGCCTCGTCGTCCCGGCGCGGGATAAACGCCGACATGCCTCCCAAAGCGTGAGCGCCTCTGCGGTGGCACGTATTCACCAGCAGTTGCGCCGCCGATGTCAGAAAATGCGTCGCCATCGTTACCTGCGCGCGATCGGGGAATACCATGTCCGCCCGCTGGTTGAACACCTTGATCACGCTGAAGATATAGTCCCAGCGTCCCAGGTTGAGACCGGCCGGCCTCTCCCGCAGCTCGTACAGGATTTCTTCCATCTCGAACGCTGCCAGGATGTGTTCGATCAGCACGGTTGGGCTGATGGAGCCACGCGGGATGTTCAGGCGTTCCTCGGCGTAGTTGAACACCTCGTTCCAGAGTCGCGCTTCCAGGTACGATTGCAACTTGGGCAAATAATAATAGGGGCCGGTGCCGTGGCTCTGCTGGGCAACATGATTGTGGTATACGGTGAGGCCAAAATCGAAGAAGCTTCCAGCCACCGGCTCGCCATCCACCAGCACGTGCCGCTCCATCAAATGCAGCCCGCGAGGGCGCACGCACAGCGTCGCCGTCTGTTCGTTCAACTGATACTGACGACCGTCGGGAGTCTCATCGCTGATGGTGCGCCGGTAGGCGTCGCGCACGTTCAGCTGCCCGTCCAGTGTGGGTACCCAGGCCGGCGAATGCGCGTCCTCGAAATCGGTCATATAAACCTGCGCCCCGCAGTTGAGCGCGTTGATGACCATGCGCCGGTTCGACGACGGGCCGGTGATTTCCACGCGCCGATTGGTCATATCTGCCGGAGCTGGCGCTACCCTCCAGTCACTCTCACGGACGCTGCGGGTCTCGATCAGAAAATCGGGATTGGCGCCGGCGTCGATATCCGCTTGCCGCTTGGCTCTGGCCTGCATCAGCCGTCGCCGTGTGGTTTCGAAATTACGATGCAGCTCGGCAACGAACTCCAGCGCGTCGTCCGCGACCACCTCCGCGTACTGCGCCGGAACCGAACCGATAATCTGAACATTACTGTGGTCTGGCATGGTAGTGACGTCCGATGATTGAAATGTTTTCGGATTTGATCCGTTGCCCGCAGACGCGGGGACAAATATCCCCACTCCGGGCAGATAATTCGATTGTCGACAGCGCGAACGTTAGTCGGCCCGCAGACCCAGCGTAGCCAGATGCCGCTGCGCGTCGGCGCTCAGCGTCAACCCGCGCTTGCGACCGTCGTTGAATTTCCGCTGCAGTTCCCTGAGCTGATAGGCCACCGGCTGCATACCGGAGCCGTTGTGGGCCGCCGCCTCGGCCAGCGTGGGATAGGCCAGGTCCAGTGACCAGTAAAATGACAGCAGCCAGGCCAGTTCCCGCTCGTTGATTGGCGAGGGAACATCGGTAATGTCCAGGATGGTATTCACCACCTTGGAGTACCTCAATATCCCGGCCTTATCCTCCTGATCGCGACCGTAGTACCGACGCCGCATCAATTCGGCCACTCGTTCCGTGTAGTTGGCTTCGCCGTAGATACTGATCGGCAACCATTCCTGGCGCAGGTCAATCACTTCCTCGCCTTCCCGATTCATCACCGACACGGCCACTTCAGACCGCAATACGCTATCGTATTCGAATTTGACGGCGTTCCGCAGCAACGCTTCCTGCAGCAGCATGGTCAGTTCCCGGGGAATCTTGCGATAGCCGGAACCCGCCGCTTCCTCGTTGGTATCGGCTCCCACGCCTCCGGTGTTGAAGGCATAGTATTCCTGCGGCATTCCACCCCAGGCCAATTGTTGCAGCACGTGATACAGCAGGTTGGCGTTCTCGTCCTCCAGCCCGATGATGAACGGGTCGGAGAAATACTCCACGTATGGCCGGCCGATTGCGCCGATAGCAGCGCCCATCTGCACTGCTTCACCGTACATCAGCACGCGGATGTACTGCTCCAGACTGAGGCGTCGAAGCGGTGGAATTACCGTATTCTGCCGCATTACCTCCTGCCAGAATACCCGGTCGGTATTTTCCATCGGTACGTGCACCGAGTCGGTCAATCGGCCATCCGTGATCGTGCTGATCAGGTCCCGCGCTCCCTTTCGGGCCAGCAGTCCCCGCCGCGACAGGATCATCCTCATGTTGCGGACCGGATTCTCCAGGTAGTTGGGCTCCTGGCTGTCCACGTGAACCGGCACGTTCTCCAACGTCTCATCGGCCGCGGTAACACCCGGGGATCCCCGCAGCACGTCGTAGGTGATGGGGTCATCTTCTCGGGTCAATCCGAATGGCACGGCGTAAAAGTTATTTTCGGTGCCGTCGATCCCGTGGGAAATCAATGCCCGGCGTCCTCCGCGAGTGCTGGCGATAGGCGTGTCCAGCGGTTGCAGCAGCACGATGTCGTCGTTCATCGGGTAAACCCCTTCGTCGGGGTCGTTGGTCAGGTCGAGGATACCGGCCAGTTGGCTGTTAGCCAGTTCCACCATGATGGTCAGGGTGCTTTTGCCATGCAGCGACGGGCCAACGGTAATCAAAGCCGTGTTGGCCGTTTCACCGTCCAGTTTGCGCACCCGCGCCATGCTGAGCGCGGCCTGCACCGCCAGTCCGTTCTTCTCCTTCACCTGGTGCATGGCAATGGACAGCGGCCCCATCTTGTGCTCGCCCACGTAGTCGAACCCAAAATGCAATGACAACCCGCGGGTCGGAGCCTTGAAAACCAGCTGCGTAATGCCCTGCTCCTGGAGTTTGGATTTCAGAGCGTCGTCCAGCTCCAGATCGTCCATCCAGCGGGGCACTGAAACTTCCAGGATGTCTGGCGATTCCTGCCATTGCTCCTGCGGGAGGTCGAACGTCAGCCGCCGCCACATATACGGAGCCTGCAGGTACCGTGTGCCAAACAACAGTTGTCGAGCGTGATACGAGCGACCCGGAGCGTCGCAAATTTGGCGATCGGTGTGCACGATACCCTGGCCGCTGGCGAAGTCGGCTTCCATCTTCTCGGTGACGCGGTCGAATACCTGGGTGAAGAGCCTCTGATTGTCCTCCGTAAACGCCAGAGCGTCCCGATTGCGTGTAAAACCTTCCACAAAGTATTGAGTCAGGTCGGGACGACGCACCACACCCAACTGGCTGAAAAAAGCCAGGCCGCCGTTATCCAGGCGGAACACGGTTTCAGGCCAGACTTTGGTGGCGGCGCGACCGGCGGAATTGACTTCCGCGGCTACTTTTTCCAACTCCAGCGCCTCTTCCCGCAGCTCGGATTGGCGATCACCGGGCAGGTCCTGAAAGATGGACATATTGTCCACCAGCCACTCTTCCGACGGGTTGTACAGTTCGCTGTCGGTGCGCTGACCCCGGCGGGCTGCGGCGCACAAACGGGTCAGCGCCGCTTCAAATTCGGGTACGATCTCCGGCCCGGCCAACGGTGACTTGCCATCGGGTTGGTCGGTAGAGTTGGAGGTGGTCAAGATGTTTCTCCCAAAGCAGGGGCTAGCGCGATTCGGCGTTTCACCAACAGCCGCCTCTCCTGAATAGCAGGAGATCGGGCCGGTTGGATTGGATAGGGCAGCTCAGATTCTTCCTCACGCTAACCGTAGGTTATCGGCTCAAACACACTCAAAATCCCGCTCGAAATCAGTGTGACAGAGGTCAAAAGTTGTGAGCAGAGATACTGCCTGATAATGCTACCCCGAACCGCCAATTGTGTCAAAGCAACTACCCCTGCGGTTACTGTTCAGAGTTGGAGGTAGTATCCTGGCCTCAACCTGTCTTTCCCGCGAAAGCGGGAATCCAGGAAACCAAGGGTAAGCAACATTGCGGTTTAAAGACTTCTCTGGATTCCGGCTCAAGGCCGGAATGACGGAGTGGTATTGAAATCACGCGTCGAGTCTGAACTGTTACGGTCACTCGTGCGTACCCACTCTGTCAATGCGCCGAGCGCAGCTCCTGCCGTTACGAGGAGCGCGGCAATTCCTACCGACCACGGCGCGAGGGTGGTGGCGTTCGGGCGCGAAATCCGCTATTCTGTGCGCCATTACATGATTAATCCGACGGACACGTTCCAGGGGAGACCGCAAAATGACTACTACCGCTTCCACCGATGCCACGACCACTAAAATCCAGGAGACGAGCCGCTTCAACGACCAGTTCGGCGAAATGAACCCACGGGCCAAGGAAAAGGTAAAGGGAGAGATGTCGGATTTCGTGCAGAAATTCATTAGCGCATCGCCCTTTGTAGTAATGGCCTCCGCTGACCCGGACGGCAACTGCGACGCATCTCCCAAGGGCGGCAAACCGGGTTTCGTCAAAGTGATCGACGGCCAGCGTTTGCTGCTGCCCGACGTCGCCGGCAACCGACTATTCCAGTCCTATCAGAACATGGATGAAAACCCCCACGTCGGCCTGCTGTTCATGATCCCCGGGGTCAACGACACCGTCCGCATCAACGGCACGATATCCATCGTGAACCGAGAAGAACTGGAACAGCAGAAGGTGGAGCTTTCCCTGTACTGGACCGACGACAACGCCAAGCACCTGCAGGGCATCATCATCAACGTGGAAGAGTCATATACCCACTGCCCGCGGGCCTACAATTTCGCCAAGCTGTGGGACACCGAGCAGATAACCGAAAACCAGACCAACCGGCCGATCCCACTCCGACCATAACCCGCGATCAACTAACCGGACCCCTGGCGATTCGCCCCTCCCCAAAATTGGGGAGGGGTTTTTGCTGTCACCCAACCAGGCCGCCGGCCCGAATCGGAAGCCTCCGCCCGATGCTACAATGGCGGCACGTCACGCTTCATGACGCTACGTACAAGACCCCACGTACAAGTCCCCACGTAAAAGGATGGCACGCGCATGGTTTCCGTCGCCTTTGAAAAACACACCCTGCCCAACGGACTGGACGTCATCCTGCATCAGGACAAGTCGATACCGGTTGCGGCGGTCAACGTCTGGTATCACGTGGGCTCCAAGGACGAAGAGATCGGACGCACCGGGTTCGCGCATCTCTTTGAGCACATCATGTTTCGCGGCACCCGCCATCACAAGGCCAGCCATTTCGAACCCTTGCAAAGGATCGGCGCCTCGCTGAACGGTTCCACCAACGGCGACCGCACCAACTACTGGGAAGATGTGCCCTCCAACTATCTGGAACTGGCGCTGTGGCTGGAAGCCGACCGCATGGGTTTCCTGCTGGATGCGCTGGATCAGGAAGGGTTCGATACCGAGCGGGACGTGGTTAAGAACGAGCGGCGGCAGAGCTACGAAAACCGCCCTTACGGCATGGCCTCATGGCACATCCAGCAGGCCCTGTTCCCGCTGCCACACCCGTACCACTGGATGACCATCGGCTCGCAGGAAGACCTGGACGCCGCCAGCCTGGACGATGTGAAGGACTTTTTCCGTCGCTACTACGCTCCCTGGAATGCCAGTCTATCCATAGCCGGCGACATCGATCCTTCGGCAGCGCTGGACCTGGCACATCGTTATTTCGGCGACCTGGATCCCGGTCAACCGACGCGACGCACCGAGCGCGCTGACTCGCCGCTGTCCGGCCGAATCGATTTGCAGATGAACGACCGGGTTACGCTGCCCCGACTGTATGCAGTATGGCCGGCTCCGGCCAACATGTCGAGCGATGATGCGGCCAGCGACATCCTGCGGGCCATCCTGTCCGACGGTCAGAGCAGCCGGATGTACCGGACCCTGGTGTACGAAAAGCAGTTGGCCCAGAGCGCCTCGGTGAATTACCACGCTGCCGAGATAGCCGGTCAGTTTCGCATGGAGCTGACTCCCGCCGACGGTCACACCCTGGACGAGGTTGAAGCCGCCGCCGAAGCGGTGCTGGAGAGCATCGCCACGCAGCCACCCACCGAGGAAGAGTTTGAGCGGGCCATCAACCGCGTCGAGATGCAGCACTACCGCACGTTGTCCCGGGTGGGTGGATTCGGCGGGCGCGCCGACGCGCTTAACTACTTCAACGTGTTCACCGGCGACCCCAACGGCCTGAACACGGCGATGGACGAATACCGCGCGGTTACGCTGGACGATGTTCTGCGGGTGCATCACGACATTCTGGCCGGCGGGCAGGTCCGGATGCGGGTGCTGCCGGAACCGAGCCTGAACGTTACCACCACCGGAGTTGACCGGACGCAGCAGCCGGCTGGTGGACCAACACCGGTTTTCTCGCCACCCCGCCCGCAGCGGGGCACGCTCGCCAACGGAATGGAGGTGGTTGTTGCCAGCAAGCCTGGTTTGCCGCTGGCGGCGTTCACGCTGTTGGCCCGATCCGGAGCCATCGCTGATCCCCTGGATTTGCCGGGCCTGTCGTCCTTCGCCGCGGCCATGCTGACGGAGGGCACGACGACCCGCACCAGTCAGGAGATTGCCAACGCCTTTGAGCATATCGGGTCCCGCCTCAGCGCCGATGCACACAAGGAAATAACGCTGCTGGCGGCGGAAACCTTGACCCGGCACTGGCCGCACGCACTGTCCCTGGCCGCCGACGTGGCCCGCAACGCCAGCTTCCCCGACCACGAGCTGGAGCGCATCAGGCGCGAACGGCTCACCGATTTGCGCCGGGCCAAAGATGACGCCGGGTTCGTGGCCGAAACCAATTTCGGCACTCTGGTGTTTGGCGCCGAGTCACGCTACGCTCATTCCAGCCTGGGCACCGAGGCCACTGTTGAAGCGGCAACCCGGTCCGACCTGCAGGCCAGTTTCCGTCGGGCGCTGCGTCCTGACTTGATGTGTCTGTTGGTGGCTGGCAATGTTGGCATCGACGAAGCAATGAGGGTGGCCGAGGACTGCTTTGGCGATTGGTTGGCTCCTGACGAATCGGCCGGCGATGTTGGCGTTCAGAGCGCCGCTGCCGTCAGCGACGGGCCGACGATCTATCTGATCGACAAGCCCGGAGCAGCGCAGTCGGTTATTCGATCCGGTATGCCGGTAATTCAACGCAATCACCCCGATTTCATGCCGCTGTCGATACTCAATTACGCGTTCGGCGGTCAGTTCTCCGCGCGACTCAACAAAAACCTGCGCCAGGACAAGGGGTATTCCTACGGTTACAACTCGGGGATTTCCTGGTACAACGCGCCTTCAATGGTATCAGCCGGCGGCAGCGTTCAGACGGAGGTTACGCGAGAATCGGTTGTGGAGACGCTAAAGGAGTTTGCCGATATCAGCGGTGGGCGTCCGTTGACCGAGGAGGAGCTGGAGAACGCCAGGACCGGGTTGCGGTTAGGATATCCCGCCGGGTTCGAACGGCCGGCGCAACTGTTGGCTCAATTGATGCAATTGACTCAATTCAACCTGCCCGACGATTATTTTGCCGACTTCGAGCAACGGTTGGCATCCGTAACGCTGGCGGATACCCACCGCGTGGGCGAACAGTACCTGGCCACCAACCGCCTGACCATCCTGGTGGTGGGCGACCGGGAGCAGATCGAGCAGCCGCTGCGAGACCTGGGCCACCCGCTGACGGTGCTGGACGCCGAAGGAGCGGTGGTGGGGTAACCAATTCGTGTATTGACCCTCGTCCGTTACTCCCGCCATCACATGTGCACTCAATATAGGACACGCCGTTGTGACGGGAATAAAGGAATCGGTACGAAAGCGCCAAGGATGATCTAGCGTAATTCGCTATATTCTTGGTGTAACTACCATAAAAATATGTGGCCTCTATGATAGGCAAGAAAGTCAGGATCGGGGTAGAATTTTTTCGGGAGGTAGATCTGCTGCCCATCGTAACGTTCAATGGAACTGGCGTAAAATTGGTCGTCGGTCACCACTTTTGCCGCAGATATGCGGACGGTGAGATCGTCATTTATTGTTATTAACCCG